GCCAAGGAACCACTTAGCGATAGAAGTACAGCATCATCCGGATTTTTGGGCAGACTTACTCTTGCAGGAAGTAGGATTTCAGCATTGACGCTCCGAATTAAGCAACAATCCACTGAGTTCAACTCTCCAAATTTGAATTTAATAAATTAAAGAAAAAAAAGTAAAGATTCATAAAAAATTGTGGAAAGCTTATTGTGGTCAAGATTCCTCGATGGCCTAATTGTAAGAATATGACCTGTTGTTTCAGTCAAGTTTAATTTCTACATCTTTTTGGATAAAATCTTACTATAGAAAGGTGGAATTAGGGCGGTACTTCTATTCTCAAATGACTTTTTGCCAAAGATGCCTCATCCCCATTCCTTAAGAAGTAGATCAAATCAGAAATGCAATCAGAAGACGAAATTTTGACACTGCTTCATTATCGCGAGAAAACTTTGACAATAAAACAATTTGCTTGAAAAAATTTAAAAAAGTACCTTCTTACTCGTAATTTGTTGCAAACTATGAAACTTCCGTTGAATCTTTCTGTAGATTCATAGCGAAAAAATCTATACAACCACTTGCAAATGGCATACGATCATTGATAACTGAGCGATAAAAATGATGTACGCGGATTTAACATTCTTAAATTTCTCTCAATTTTCTGGAACATTAACAAAAGGAATTAGACGTTGCAGAATATGGTTAATCTATAAAAAGTGAAACTTAAAAATTTGAAAAAAAGGTGTTAAATAAAAATTCCAATTTTTCATGAAATATGGGTAAAAGATAAAAATCTTGCAAATTTCGATCCGCAGTTTGATAATTTGTTCAATGAAATGAATGTCATGGAAGTAGCACATAAGCACATAAGCAATATCAAATACAGAAAAAAGACCGATCCGATTTTTCTCCACCAAAGGACGTTTGCTATTTTATTTTCAATATGTAAACCGAGACACTTGATCGGCGACGGTGCTTGTAATGATTTTTCTGCAAAATCCAAGCTAAACTTGATAATTTTGAAATTTTTACTTATAACAATAATTTTAAACAATTAATTTTGTGTTCGATTTTATTTTAAAATCTTAACGAGTTCTTTCTGGAGAATTCAATTACTCGCTTAGGTATGGTATGTTGTTTTGACTAAAACTGAATATTATTTGTTTGATTTTGTCGTTAGAGAAGAATAAATCTGCCATCAGAAGGGAAATTCACATGGGAATGAAGACTCATTTGCACTTCCATACTCAAGTGATTCAATAAAGAAATATCTTCCTAGTAGCCAAAGAACCCAAAGATGATGGGTGCCTTAAAAGAAGATGAATTAGAATATGATCCTCCACTTTCTATAATATTGAACAAAGGCATGATCAGTCTATCAAATGTGAAATGGTAGTGAATTCATATTTATATTTATTCATATTTATAGTGAATGATAGCTGTTGACGAAAGAACTGTTGAACGAATTTCATCGCTTTCAGTGTGTAACAACAGCACGCAGTTCACTTGCAACTTCTTAAACAAATTTATTTAATTAATATCAATATTAAAAGTTCAAATCCTTGAAAACTGAAATAAATTTCGACATGGCAAACAGAATTATAATTTTGAATAACTGAATTATAATTTTGAAAAAACATTCCCGATGCCTACTTTATCTTTTCAGTTTTTACCTTACAGCTGGCCCCAATCTATTTTTAAACCCTAAGCCATGTATTAAGACCTAAATTTAAATTGGTCTTTAGCTACAGCAAATCCCTTGAAGATTGAATAATTTTTAAAAATAGAAAACCATTGCTTATTTCTATTAATACTAATTTGGCTTTAATAGAAAACTTCGCAAAATGACAAATTTACTCAACATTTACGCAGCACAAATATCACGTATGGTTGGTAACCTATGGCAACTCATCGTTGTTCAAGATTGAAGGCCATGTGAACGATAATTTAATAAATTTAAAGAAATAAATTAAACTAGAATTGCAAAGGCCTGTAGCAAAGAATTAATCAAAGAAATTATGATTTTAAAATAAATTTTTAATAAATTCTTACTGAAATTATAAAAAATAAAAAATTAAAATGAAAGAATCACCAAACGAATAAACTGAAAAAGAAAATTGATGAGAAAATTCGGTAAATTTTTTATTTCATAATTGGCTAATGTTCATCGACTCTCCTCTTTTTCGTCAAAGGATTTATAGTTGCCTTTAAAAATATGCTGTAATAAATGGAATAAAAAATTTTTTTGTACATCCCACAGTTCGGGATAAAATTGATTGTATTTATTTTTGAGACCACAAGTTTTGACCAGTTTTTGCCAATTTTGGTTTTAATTTTTTGTTTTGTGGTTGAAGCGATTTGAATAATTTTAGAAATGGCATTTGTTTAGCACCTAAAAATGGACCTAAAACCCAATTATGAATTAAAGGTATTGAAAGTAGCGACTAATGAAGTGAGCCTGTAAGTAAATCAGATATATTTTTTTTATTGAGGGAAGATAGGGAATTGGAATAATTTTTTAACGCCAAAATTCTTACTAAAAAGTCGTTTTATATAAACATGGAAGGAATGGTTTTGATCAAACTGAGTTCACTTCTTTCCATTATGCACTGTTTGCTATGCAAAGCTATGTCGTTTTGAAATATCAATAAATTATTTTGCAATAAATTTTGGTACTTCATCTTTTTTTCAAACAACTACAGTTGAGATAACGATACCAGGATACTAACATAAAATTGATTTAAACAGGGGCTTTTGACTGAAGTGCGATATGAAATACCAAACGATTATAGTCTTCAATGCTTTCTATGCTAAAATATCGAAACAATCTATCACTGCATTGCTTCTGATTTTCTGTCGAGTGTGAAATTAGGTATTATAAAAACGATCAGTAAAGAGCAGGCGATCACCAAGAAGAAGTTTCTGAACCAAATATTGTCTATGGATCACATAATACATAAAAAAACATAAAACATAGAACTGACTTTTTTAAAAACGATGATTCTCCTTTAATATCAATGTTTGATAAAATAGATTCATCAATCTATAATGAAAACTAAGTTGTTCCTTAAAACTTTATTTGTGACCATTTCATCAATTCGTCTCTGCACTATATTTTCGTTAAAAATAGGAAAACTAGAGGAATTTTTTTGATAGTATCAAAGATGATCTTTTGTGCATAACAGTATGCATGACCTTACTAATAGAGGAAAGGATCAATTTTTTATTAATAGTATGTGGTTTCCTCATTCAGTACTAAGCGAGAAAATAACTTGCATCATTTTCTTCTTTGAATGCAGTTAAAAAAATATTATTCAGCGTGACGTTCGCCGTTTTAAAAATTGATCCTTGAGCGTTTGAAAATATTTTTGCCTTTTATATGTATGTTTCAAATGACCATTTTATCTAAACAGCTTAACAGATTCATTATTGAACATTTTTTGGCAAATTAGTTATGCTGGTGATATCTTATTTGTAGGCAATTAAAATTATCATTAAGATATTCGACATTATTCGATATTGTCTATAATTCTTCTTTGCCTCACATATCTTTACATTAGACATGTAATGCCTGTAAATTGAAAAAATCATAAGTGGAAAGTGGGAATAAGAAATGAGTTCTACTTGGAAGATGACATATCGAGAGGCGACGCGCTGGCGACCCTGAGAACTGTAAAATTCTGAAATAACACCTGAAATGATGAATAAAACCTCTAGCCAAATTCTCCATTCACTACTTCCACTTCACCATTCCTAACCAGCATGAGGAAACCATGTTTTTGAACCAATGCAGTTACCACAGTTCGCTAAAGGAATATTTTTAACAGATATTCCTCATATTAGCATTTCGAAATGTTCATCGTAGGCTCTCTCTGATCCGCGAACTTCAGTTTAAAAGTTCAAACTCATACAAAAGCTCGATTATTTTGTCTATAGTACAACCACTGTGTACAAATTGATTTCTTTTATTTCTCTTATTAAAGCATAAATTACTCAATGAACCAAAATATTTACAGTACTGCACAGTATAATCATAAACACAACTATCATCTACCTTTGTGATAGAAAAATTTTGAAGCCGTGACCATATTTGTTGTGATAATTTAGAAATGGTCAGGAGACCATTAGGATTCGATGAGCTTTTAAGGTGCTTTTTTGCAATAAAAAAATATGATTGGATTGAATAAGATTAGAAAGATGAAGGATCGCTAAGATATTTCAAAAAATATTCCCATCATATCCTCAAATGCCCTTAAAATTAAGTCCCTCCTTGACTTTCTCGCCATTCTACTGGGAGGCGATATCGACCATGTTGGGAACCTGCGATCTACTGTTTATTGTTTATTGAAATAACCATATCATTTATATGCTGAAATTTGATGTGCTATTTATAATTTCTTTTGTATAATTTCTTTAAGTTTTTTTCAATCATAATCATAAATTCATTGAAACTATGAAATATCACTGAATTTACCGATCATTTCGAAAATCTTTTCAAGAATCAGGTCATCCATCCTTCATCCTTTTTCATTGTCTCCATGATAAACCTTGCCGAACACTGTTTGCTGGTCATTCTTTTCACCTTTTTTCTTTCGTTAAAACTTCTCTAACGATTTGTATTTTTAGCCATTTCTAAAGCTATTTAAAAGCAATATATCAATACTTCAATATGTGAACTCCCTTTAATGTTTTCCTGTGACACTAAAAGTAAAAAATGCTAAATTATTTAAAAGTGTCAAAATTTATTTTTCACTATTCTTATATGGTAAGAAATCTTGGCAGAATAGATTTAACCGATTATTTCTTGAAGCTCATTGCTAAATTCCAGTTAATAAAATTTTTCCAGATTTGTAACTATGCTACTTCCATCCAGTCGAATTTTTTCGATAATTGATTCATCATCATGTTTGTAAACTGTGAGGCTAAATGAAAGGACTATGAGGTTACACTGTAATTATGTATGCTTTCATTATGCAGCATTTTGATATCGTAATCTTTCAGCGAATAATTTTACTGATATGCAATGTCCATCTTCATCTGATAAGGGAAAAAAAAGTCCACAAAGCGATATATTCATTTATAATGAAAATGGTGACTATTATATGGTGCCGACCTTGTGCAAATTGTTTCATTATCGGATAGCAGCAATAATTTGCAGTATTGTAGAAGTAATGCTTCTCGCCATATTTGTTATTATATTTTTAAGTAAGTTTTTCCATGCATTTTATATTTATATTTATTTATCTATATTTATACTATACTATATATTTTATACTATGTGTTTTAGATTTCAATTAAGTAAAGCTCACTCTGATTAGACATTTCCACTGACTATCAGGGAGTTTTGGGGACAAAAATATAGGTGAATACCCAGTATCCAGTGGGAACTTTTCGTCGACAGGTTTGCTACCATCAGAGACATTCTGATGCATATAAATAGCGAAGGAAAATGTTCTGTTCAAATTGCTGAATGTCCATCGGACTACGATTAAGGAATCGCAATAGTGTTATAATTATAGCATGAAAGACTGTCTATAAATTAATTTCTCAAAACTTTAAGGACTCGATTTTAATAAAAATATGATGCAGATTGGGATAACATTTACATTGGTCGTAATGCTATTCTTTGTGACTGTAACAACGGTACTGATGGTTAGTTACTTGGATTTTTAGATCAGAGTGTAATCCCTTAACCATAGATGACCACTCTGTGAGAAGAATTACAAGTGTGTCCAGCAACACCAGGATCAATTTAAAGATACGTTTATTCTTATCGAGAGATAAGAATCGACGGCCTTAGCTAAGGCAACTCGGCCATCTAAGTATGATATTGTCAAATATGATAAAAATATTTGATTCTACCAAAATTATATTATAAAAAAAATTTAATTGGTGAAACGAAAATGCAAATTTTGTTTGATGTAATAAGATTTGATATAAATTTAGAACTGACGAAAATGTGTGACATTTGTAGAAATCTATTTATTTATTGATTTGGTGTGGCAATTTATTATTGTTAATTTCTTTTAAAGAAAATTCAGACTTCAAATTAAAATTTATTAAAAAAATAACCACGAAAAGTAAGAGCGCCATGTGCGTGTAATTAAAAGTAAAGACGAGTCAAAGCCACTCGGATTCCACGTTTATTGGCAAATTTATTGTTGTCAAACATAAGGATTGAATCTATGATGGCTCTACACAAAAATATATCAAATAAAATAAGGCGAAATTGTTAAAAAAATAATAAGGGCAATATGCTATGTTAATAAAATAAAGAAACCAATAAAAAGGAAAAAAATGAAAAATAAATGGTACCTATTTTTTACTAGATTTATGGTATTGCAAGTCAACAAGCGAATTATTTATTACCGCAGTTACTAATAATGTCTGTGGAAATCAGTATATTATTAATATTAGCTACTATTTCGATTATAAGTATGTCAATGGGAATACAGACAACATACAAATTATTTGGGATGTTTATCAAGTTAGTGCAAATATTTTTCAGGCTTTTTTTGATAAATCTCAGGTCAAAAAAATGTACTTCTTTTGAGGTTTAAAGTAATATTTTTTCTTTTATTGTTAATGCATTTATAGGAAATTAAGTGGAAAAAGTAACTGCAAATCATATAAAAAGAATAAAGTGGTTAACACTTATTGTTTCTGAATAGATCACTCCCTTTGGGTGGGCAAAATGATTTTACCTCGGTACAGATAGCTGCAGATCGTTATTATTTTGTTAATAGGTTTATTCCTATCGAAGAATCGAATCAGGATGCTTGATATGATAATGTAAACAACACCTATTTGGTTATCCATCGGGAAATGGATAGTTACAAATCAGTTTATTTATTTTCAGTATATTTATTTTTCCTATGAATCATTTAAGTTTCTGGTTCAAAGTGGATTATCCTCATTTTAAACCTGCCTTATCCCAAAATATTATTTTGAGGGAGTTTCTCAAGTTTTTTAAAGCACATTTTAGTTGTCAATTAAATAATTAAATAATGAATAATTCCAAAAAAGCAACAAATAAGCCAAATTTCGGTTATGAACGGGAATATTGAACAAACCCAGTATTAATGCCTTTTTAATAGCTTTTTTAAGAGTTAAAAATTATTAAAAGTTATTAACCTTAAGAAACTGAGAAATCATGTTCCAGTGATTCATTCGTTTCAGTGTGCGAGATATTGAAAATTCATTAGGTCCAATTTGGCCTTTTAATATGGCTATTTTATCGTTCTTTAGTGCAGCGATGATTATTTGGTTCCATACGATTGTTCACGGTGCATATGATTATCTTCTGGATAAAAATTATTTTACAAGAGAATCACTTACAGAGCTATCTAAGAAATAATCGGCATCATCAAATCTAACAGTTATTTCGATTAAACCTTGATTTAATTTGTTAATCTTGTCAAAAATTATCTTTGGATTAAATATCAATTTTATATAAAATTTTGCATTTTCTCAAAATTTTAAAATTTGAGGAACAAAAACATTGCTTGAATTGTTCTTTCGACCGATTCTCCTCGCTCTTTATATATTGAAGTTTGTATATGTTTCGAATTTTAGTAAAATGGTTCTGAAGTCGAATATTGATATTCATATTGATCATTTGACATACTTCTTTACCATAGGAACTCTGCAAACCATTATCGCAAACCACCAAAAACAATCAAAAAGTCTTTAATAGAGTCTTCAATATGTGTTTGGCACTAATTACAAATAAGCCTGATTACATTGCATAGGTGACTTTCATTGGACAGGCCGCGCTTAAGATACGCCATCTGTTTTAATGAATTAACCTTATTTTACACAACCGGCGATCATATAGCAATTTCTAAATAAAAATTCGAAGAAAATGTGAAATAAACAAAGGGTTTCGGCTATTTCCAAACAATCAAAATGATTGTAATCATTTTACATTTTACACTGTTCATTTTTATTTTTATAAATAAAAATTAAGAAAATAAAACATATTACACACAATCAAAATACAAAAAGACACTGAAGTAGAGTGGTTATTGTATCAAAATCTTGATTTATTAAATGCAATAAACTAGATAAGATAACAATTTATATTAAGAACTGGTGGTTGAGACCATTACCACCATTTCTGGTAACGTTCACTAATTGTTAGCACGAGATGCTTTTGCCATAGGGTCACTTGGAAACTGAAGGATGTATAAATAAATAAATCAAATAATGAGAAAAGATCATTTTTCAAAGAATAAAAGCACGATTCTTGCTATTACATTTTATATTCATCTCGTTGATTAACTTCCCAGTAATATAAAGCCATGTACTGTAATATTAAAATATTTTCTGGTCTGTTCACCTGAGAAGAAAAGGTTTTTATTATTATTAAGGTTCTATTATTATTTCTATTATTAAAAATTATATATGAGAGGATAAAACCTTAAATTTTATGTTCATTATTACTATTTTCTGGACGTAGAACACATGAATCTTTTAGGTGAAACAACAATATCAGAATCACTATGAACTCGACGAATATTTCGAACTTCCGAAGCACATTCAGATGTAGTTCCATAACCATGATCAGACTGTTTATCATCCTCAAGCATTGTTTCATTTGGAACTTCTAGATTTTCTGGATGTTCTGAGGACGATTCATGCGAAACGTCGCGGGGGCATTCAATAGAAATTATTTCATCAAGTTGACGGAAAACTTTTGTTTCATCTGGTAGATCATTCGTGCTTTGCATGAATATCCGATTTTTATTGGAGTGAAATAATTCAGAAGTACTGGATAAAGCTTCACCAGCGCCTGCTAAAGTTGATGTTGTATTGGATGTTGATGGCGTACAAAAATGTGGCACACGAAATACTTCATTATCTCTCAAATAACGAGAATAACCAGCATGCAGTTGAAGTTCCTGGAAAAAAAACAAATGAAAATGAAATTTATGATATATTTTGCTGTTGTACTATATGGATGAAAATAGAATAGACCATTTCAAACTCGATTCATAAGGACACAATAATCAAGTGGCACATTATTTGGATTTGAGGCAAGAGTGGTCAGATTACTGCCTTCATATTAAGGTTTAAACTTTATCTCCGAAAAGAATAAACCTGTCATCGAAAAAATCTGAAAGTGCTGAAAACCCACCCATGCTTCTCCTCAAGTAACTATTTGAAAAAATTTCTTGTCGCACTGACAACCGATGCAGCAAACCTCATCAAAAATGGTGAACTTCCCTACCCTTAGATGAAAGAAGAATGACGAAAGAGAAAGTTCACATAAATTCATATAAATTCGTATTGAGCAGACGACTCTATACATATATATACACTCTCCTGGTGAAGGAATCACCATAGCAGTCAGTGGAACTAGTGGAGCTAACCAAACCAGAAATATTGAGTGCAGTTTAGAGAATAATTGAGGTTCTAATAACAACTTATCAAAATGTATATATACCTGTTCAAGAGATTTTATGTGCAGAATATAATTGTTGCATTCAATCTCGCGAGTTCTTAAATCCTCCATTAATCGCTTTTCAATCATGTCGCGTAATTCACGATCCTTTATGCGATCACGTCTTTCACGTTTATATAAATCTTTATAATAATTTTTGCGATCATTTGATGCACGCAGTTCAGCACGTAATTCCTGGAATTTATTATTTCTTTTCCTGTTTTCTATGCATAAAATGTTGAGTTTCATAAAAATAAAAATAGAACTTGCCCTTGAACAAACCATTTACTCAATATTTTACAAAGCCTTTTTTTACAAAGCCAGAAGATACTGGCATCCTCTTATATTTCTGCCCTCTTCCACTTCAGCAATCAATGTAGCCAACCAGATCAGAAATAATGAAGCCTTTAAAATAAGAAAAGAGAAAGATAATTTTCGCGAAATCAAAGATTTTCAGTACTGCATAATCATAATGCTAACACGGCATAAATAACACAAAAATAATATAGTACTTTTATTATACGCTCAGAGTTGAAGGACTCTGCTTCAGAATCATCTAAATCTCTTGACAATCTTCTCGTTGATGTTGCATAATTCTCGTATTCAGGGCTCAAATAGCTTCCGCGTGAAATGGTTTGTTCAAAACGCTTCGGTATCTAAAAAAGTGTTGAAAGTATTGTAACTTGTGTCCTGAAAAACTGATTTAAAAAGAAAGGTGATACTGATTTGTGAAAAATTTATGATTTCTAGCACTGCAGTTCTCTACTGTTGGCAGGGCCAAACTTTTTTAAAGAAGCCCATGTGGTTCTGGCGTTCAGCAGCAATTCTATCCCCATGTCTACAGCACATCCCTATGAATCTACAACACAACAGTCTCAATCCTAACAACAATCAAGCCTAATGGGAATGATGGGCATTAACATTTTTTTTCACTTTTTACTTACTAATATTCCGATGTTCCAATAAAAGATCAAATTTCTCTTGAAGATCGGTGAAATCGATAGGACCAAAATTTATAAAATTATAAATTTAGCCATACTTGAACAGCATTAGCAGTAAGAAATCGATTGATATGCGAATGTCGTTCATGATAACTATCACGCCTTGCTGAATCTTCATAGCATGAATAGGCATTACGTTGATATCGACCACGTGTAACAATATCATATGGTGAAAAGGTGTTAGCAGCTGAAATTCGGCAGAGATCCGCTGGGCTTACTCTTTCGTTTGAATAATTTTCATCTTTGAGATGTTCGTCTTTTTCTTCACGTAGATTTTGAGAAATTGGGGTATTAGATTTCTAAATTTTGTCAAATTTTTTTCTCGCCATCAGATTTTTAAATAATTTTAGAAAAAAACAAACCGTATGTTCCAAAAATAGTTCTTCGTTTTCTTTATTGAATTTACGCGGACGAAAGATATTTTTAAACATTTTTTACAACAAAAAATCCTAAAAAAATCAAAGTAATAAAAATTGGAAGAAAATATATTATATTTAAATATTATATTTTTATTATATATATTATAAATATTATATTTTTTATACTGTAAATAAAATAACGATTAAAAAATGAAAAATATCGATGAAAATTCATCGGATGAAAAATAAACGATTTCGTAAAAAAATTAAAAAATCAAGGCAAGCGCATTAAATTTTACTGCCTTAGGCATCGCTAATGTTGCCCCTATTTAGACTGCAACTATTTCGAACTGTGAAAGAAAATTCACCTTAGGTTTCTTCCTCATAACAAGAAAATAAATAAAGATAAATATAAATAAAATAGAATAAATAATAGAATAAAACAGAGCAGAATTTTTATTTTTTGGCTTAATGTTGCACCAGCACAGCACCGTTAAGCGAAATGTTTAGTGATTTAGGGGTTTGCGCTGGTATTAGATGAAAATAATTGATTTATAATTAAAAATTAAATAAAAGAGTGGGGAAAAAGTGGCCAATAGCCAAGTGGACTGGCTCAGATTATTATCTTGAAGGGCAACGATCCGGCCTCTGTGTAAAAAAAGTAAAGCTGCCATCAAAAAATCCAGGTTTTAGTGGCGATCCACCTACATTTCTATCGTCAAATCACCGTGGCAAAAATTTCTAACCACATCATACTGGCAGCCAGCCGAGTAACCTTTAATCATGCGAATAACGATAAATGGTGTAACACAGGGAAATGTCGATTTCACTTAAGTTAAATATTCATTACTTTCAATTATACAAAAATTTTAGATTTTTGATGAAATTCGAAGTTTTAAAATTTCTAGACGCGGAAAATCGTGAAAAGCTCTGGCAACAAATAATCACCACCGGCTCACATCAGATATTTTCATTAATGTTGGTAGTCAACAAAGAACATTAAATAAAGATGGGATTGGGTGGGTGATATGGAAAAGTGAATGGCATTAGGAGGAAGGGAGGAAGGTAGTGCACTACGAAATGTTAACATAAGAGAATAGGGCAGAGGCAATCAAAACTTAATGACCAGTTTGAGAAACTTCAAAGAACTGCCGAATCGCGAGGAGTACCACCAATATTCTTTTTCATTTTATTTGAGTAAAAATTTTCTCTATGCATAAAATTGAGAAAATTCGTTATTAAATATTAATTTTATTAATTTTAAATTTTTTTAAATTTTAAATAATTATTATTTTGAGAAATTGTTTCATTCTCAAATGTTTTTTCGAGAAAAAAATCCTTTCTTAAGTCACTTTTGTTTGACTCTGCTGGATGCTGGGATACCTTTTCCAGAATCAATCGAGACTAAAGTGGCTAGAGGTTCAAATAATAGAGGCAGGAGCTCGGCTCGCGTCTCCACTATTGAAATTCGAGTGATGTTGGCGTTTCATCTGACTCGCCAGCAAATTTCTAGGCGCATCCAGCGGATCGAGGAATGGTGAATGCTTTAGTCACTTAAGGATGGATGAAAAAGATGCATCATTAGCAAACATTTTTATTTTATTTGATTTTAAGTGTATAAATTTTTTATTTCCACCATTTCAAAAATTAGAGAAAATCGATTCTAGGAGTGATTCTTTCTGCAGTTGCTGCATTGTGCAATAATCCAACAATAAATCTAACTACTGGCCAATAGAAAAAAGTTCAAATATAGTTTGAAACAGTCTCATACTTTACTCAATATTTCTTGCATTCACATTTACTGAAAGCACGAATCGCAATTTCAATGAGTTTAGCCATTTAGGAAACGTGCATTTGTGGAAATGGAATCAGATGCGCAGGCAATATATCGTAAGGTGACATTCAACCTTATGACGCCTTTAAGAAATGGCTATTCAAAAAATTTCTTTTTCTCGTAGATTTTGTTGAAAGCACAATTTTAATGTCTCTTGACAGGGCATATAAGAAATTTTGGGGTTCTTAATAAAATTTTCCTATTTAAGAATTTCAGATGATTCTTCCTTCAGTATATTTATTATTTATTTCATATTTATTTAAAAAGCAAAGTTTGTCCATTTTTTCTAACAATGATTTGTAACTAAAAATTAAGTGGTTCTAGTTCCAATGGCAATTTTATTAATATGATTAGAAATTTTCCTTGAATTGGAAATATAAATGGATCGCTAACGAACATTGCTTCAAATATCAGCAAGCCATCATCATATTTTCATCTAGTTTTGGTTCAGTTAATAGAATGGCACTTTGGAAAATGATGGAATATGACTGTGTTCCAGAGAAGATCATTCGACTCATAAAGGTATTTTTTCAGCATATATCGGCGTAAGTTTTAGTATATAGGGAACTGATGAACCCTTTCGATATAAGAACTGGTGTCCGTTAAGATTGCTTTCCGCTATAGTATTCAACTATAGATAGACTGGATAATGAACGTCGTTTGTCGGCATTCAAGAGTTATGCAAATCGATCCAGAGTATAATATCACAGATCTTGTATACGCTAATGATGTAGTCCTTTTTGCTGACAGTTATAAGGAAATGAAAATAATACTAAATACTGTGTCAATAACTGCAACGATAATCGAGTCAATGTAAATGAAATGAAAATCTTTTCGTCTTATATATAAGCTGAAATACCTATTTCATCATTTCATTACCGATTGAGGAAGTGCTTGACTTTAAATGCCTTAGATCCACTTTAATCCTAAATGGCTAGTCAAAAAACGGAATTAAAATCCAGATATCGGCAGCTAAAAATGCATTCTTTCGATTGACGAAGCCATTGTGGAACCGCCACCATAAAAACGAAAGTTCAAGCCTATATAACTGGAGTTCTTGCGTATGGCTGTGAGGCATGGCCGATAAGAGTGGAGGATATTAAGAGGTTATTGCCCTTGACCACTCATGTCTAAGATATATTTCAACATATTTTACGGGTCCGCGGGGCTACAAATCTCACATGATTGCATTTACCCTCACTCAAATACCATCAGCATATTACCATCATAGAGCATGGCTTTCGCTGGTTGATGATATTTCGCTATTTGCTAAATCCTTTGATGGATGACGTTAAAAGCGAGATGGATCAATGAAGACCTGGACTGACACACAGGAAAGATTTTGAATGAACAGAAGGCCAGTGATATATGGACTTATACGATTAAAAAATGATTGGCTTCTATTACTATCAATGATTGCGTTAGATCCTGTAGCTTCGAAATATCTTACCCAGCGGAGCCAGCTTAACCAGTAAGATGAGAGTTGTTATAAGAAGAAGAAGTACTGCTAGCAATACATAGAATAATTTAGAAGACTAATTATATTTTTTGAGGACAGGTTGGTTCAGCTGTTTTACGATTGATTTACTTTAAGACTAAAAAAAGCGCGTGATTTTAAAAAAAATTTTCTTCATACAGCTGATTTAATTCTGTAATCCGTAACTTTGTTAATTCGTAGCGAATTTTTTAAGGAAGAATATGGTACAACTTATTTAATTAAAAGTTTAATGACTATAAACGAAAATTATAAGATGGAATTCCTGTGCCAGAAAATCACTTGGGGAGAGAAATTAAGCGAATCCTTAGCTCGAATTTCATTTTTAATGGCCAATTTATTTTATCGACGGATAGAAATCGAATCTACAGTGGCTTATCCTTAATTATTCCCCCCCTCCCCACCCAGTCCAATATCGGTTTCATCAGTTGTATCAAAACAGAAAAAATTATGCAGCAGATGACCAGCATTAATTAATAAAAAATAAAATACAATACAAATTAATTTAGCATAAATAAATAAAATTATAAAATTTAAATAAAATTTAAATGGAAATTCACGCATAGTTTATAAAAATGTTTCGGTCAAGAATATAGAAGCCGATAAATTTTTGATAAAATTTGTAGTTTAACCAAGGTCAACAAGAAAATTTTGAAGTCAGCTGTGTTTTATTTTATTAAATGCGCTTTTCATAATTTTTAATTTTCATTTATATTTTTTATTAAGTTTTAGGATAGCTTTCCTTAATTTATAAAAACGGTTTGAAACACACTGGAAGTTGCGATTTTTGTAGCGAAACATTCGACCTAAAATCAGAGTGAGGGATAGTCAAGTGGACATTGGTTTAGATCATCGTGTTGAGAGGTGAGTTCTGATATGAGTAAATTACCATCAAAAAATCAGGATGACATACCTCTACTGCCAGGTGAACTCTCTTGCAAAAACTTTTGACCGCACTAAAAGTCAGCGGAGGAAGCCCAAGCAGAAATGGTGAGCGCTAACCATTTACTTACTTGCCTATAACTATATAGATTTATTGGACATAAAGTACGGAGAATTTAAAATTCTTCCAATTGTACTCACTACTTTTGTTTCGACTGATCAATAGATTCTTTACCAGAGAATCACATGAGGATAGAAAGGTTAGATAGATCCAAATAACCACTCGTTTTTTCATTTCATTTCAAAAGAATTTCATTTCTAGTGTGAAGTTTATTCCTATTAACGAACAGGGGTCGGATCCATGGTGGTTTGACTTTAGTCAAAGCAATATGACCGTCATTCAACCGTCCTTAGTACTGACTTGCATTTTATTTAGAATTAAGAAAGGTTAATATAATAGAGGCCTGTAAATTTTGAATTTTGAGAAGAATGTGAGATTGTAATAAGAAACAAAAAAATATTTTGCCAGCACTTAATATCATAAGATATCAAAGCCTTCTTTATTCTTCATCTTCTCTCACCATTATTAGTTAGGCTGGCTGCACTGGCTAGAAGGTAAAGCTCAATTCGATCCGATACAATCATTGACAACAAAAAAAGCTATTCCTTTTTCCAGCGTGTAAGTCCACATGCTGTCCCACATATGTATTCAAAATCTTTTCTGACTTATCAGTCCAGGTCTCAATTGGCCCTCTTCACTTTTGACACTCTCCATCAAAGGATTCAGCAGGTAACGAAATATATTTCAACTCTTGTGTTAGGCAACGAAGAACGTGTCTTAACCAGCGAAAGCCACACTTTATGATGGTAATATTAATGCAGATGGTATCTGAGCGGAGGTGGATGCAATCATGTGAGATTTTATCGGTTTGGTGAACTTGTAAAATATATCTTGAAAATAAGTAGTCAAAGGTAGTTGGATACAATTCCTTTGCCTGGCCATTTAGGATTAGAGTGGATCCAAGGTATTTAAAGTCAAGCACTTCCTCAACTGGTAATGAATTGATAAAAATATGTATTTTTTCAGCATTTTATATATAAGATGAAAGCATTTTCGTTTTATTTACATTGATTTTGAGTCCACTTCTCACTGCAGTTGTTGACACATTGTTTAATATTACTTGTATTTCCTTATAACTGTCAGCAAAAAGGGCTTCATCGTCAATATATTCGGGGTCTGTGATGCTATACTCTGCACTGATTTACACACCTCTTGAGTGCCGACAAGCGATGTCCATTATCCAGTCTATCGCATAGTTAAATATTTTAGGGGAAAGGACACAACCTTGACGGACACCATTTTTATTTCGAAGGAGTATGTCAGTTCCCCATAGACCTCCACCAATGTAAGCCGATAAAATGCCTTTATGAGTCGAATGATCTTCTCTAGAACAATGTCACATTCACCCTTAGAGCTCTTCTCTGTCAGTTGAATCGAAGTTAGCTGCAAAATCAATGAAACATATCGTGAATACCCGATCAGCACATAGGGAAGCGGAAATTTTAAGTCAAAGTCTGTATTATCATATTATCAAAGTCAATATTTATTACATCTCAATGATGCACAATTTGATTCGACGAGCTGAGAAACGGACTGAGCAATTCATAAATATAGGTCTGATTACAAATAAAAAGAATTCTTGACTTACTCCACTTCGCCTTAGTTGTATTGCCAGCTTATTATATGAAATATGACTGAAAAAATTTAAAAATAATTTTGAAAAAACAACAATTCGCGTCGATATTGTGGTGCTTAAACGATTTGGACTGGAAAGGCTGCGACTCTAAACGACCTAAATTTTGCCATAGAGCTTTTGCAGCAAAGCAAACACCTTCTTACTAAACATTATTGCACAAAACCACCATCTGTAAAGGCAATTAACCGAGGTTGAAATATAGTTCGCAGAGAATGAAAAAGAGAAACAAATTCCTTAATTGCCAACGTTTGGATTCTGAATGTTTCCTTTCAAAATGCCTTTTCAAACTGCATTCTTTTTGCATTCCCACACTTTGGTTACGAATAATATGAAAAATTTTTCTGCTTTGAGTAAAGCAGTAATTTTCCGCAAACTCAAAAACTATGCTCGTCTTCGATTTTTCGTTTCATTTCATTTTTAATAGATAAATTAAGGAGCGCATGAAACACCAAACTTTTTAAATTGAAAAAATTTAAAAAGAATTTGAAAACTGGAAAAATTAGGAAACAAAAATTAAAAATTCGTCCAAAAATAGAAACTTTTTTGTTCAAAAATTCGTGGAGCTTTTTAAAACAAGCTGCACCTTGCGTATCACTATTAGCTCATTTCAGTAGCTTTTTCGATTGGAGGGTTAAATATGGCGTCGATTTTCTTAAAATACCTCGCAAATGTTCATTAAAAACGGAGGAAAAACCTTAATTCTGCTAAAGATTCGAATTACAAGGATGAAGTGATTATGAAGAAGCAAATATTTCAGCATTCCTGAATAGCTCGCTAATAAAATAAGCGACAACCACTCGGCTATTCTATCCTTAATTATAAGAAAACGAACAAATACGTATCGCTTATTTGAAAAGTGTAGAACAATTTATTTGTTGTTGTGAATTACGTTAATCAAACTGGGCGAAACAAAAATCGGTAAAATCGAAAAATTGTTCACTGCCTTCGATAATAAAGAAATAATATTCGAAAATATATATGAAAGAAACATTCCAAATAAGAAGTGGTATTCTGACACTCGTCCATGCGATTACTACTGCTCAATAATTTTACGGGTCAGAGGTCAATGCGTTTGCGATGCAGTGGTTGTTGCACTGCGTTATGTTAAGATTCGAATGCTAGAAGACGAAAAAAAAATTATCAACGAGAATTAATTAACTGAGAATTTCTATATCAGTTTGTTCATTTATTTATTTTATTGTTTGAAGTAGAAAATAAAAAAGGCACTGGTAAGAATTGGAAAGGATACCACCAGTACGTACCACCTAGATTTCGCTTTTGATAACGGGTCCGCTCTCAGAAATCCCGTCAATACTCTCCTCTATTCATTATAATTACGCATAAAACTAATGAAAAGGGTGAGAGAAAATGATGTTCAAAATGATGTTAAAATCGCTTTAATAAATATATATATATATAAACAAAAAATTTCCCGAAATTACCAATCTATAATTATTTTCCAAAATTTCTGAAATGGCCTAAATCATTTAAGAAATGGGAAACTTTATGCATTGCACTTGATTAGATGATTTGATTTTTGGATTACCCAATTACTGTTAAAAATTCTCACCGCGTGGCTTAACATAGAAAGTATAAGAAAGGCCTTTTAGGTTATGGATTTGTTTCTTGTCGCTTAAATTAACAACTCGAATGAATGAAAATTCCGATTGAAATTTTGCAATATTTTTTTAGTGATGGAAATGTGAAAAATTGGGTCTTCTAAAAAGATTTGGCCGGCGGTGAGTTTTTCCCCTCTTCCTGCGATAAACGCCAGATTGTTCCGCAGATTAGTTGCTTATTCTGTCTTACCGCAATTTCATTTTCATTCACCAATTGCATTTTATTAGTTGCCAATATTGGTAAAAATCAGATTTAATAACAGTATTTGTTATTCATCCAACGCTGAGGTTCTATTCCTCGCTGGGATAAGATTGTCGAAAATTGGGAGCACGCTGGCGATTCACATCATTCACTTCTATCGACTATCAAAATTATTTAAATATTGATCGATTGTTTTAGATTCTTTTTTTATGTTTCGAATGGATATGAACTGCGAGGAAGTAGGTTACTGAAAGAAGCGCTTTCAGACTTTCGGTTGATAGGCGCTTCAGTTTGTTAAAAAAATAAATTTCGGTCCCTCGAAAGCCAACCAAATCGTTGTAATGTTAATATTACACTTTAAGAAAATTTGTAAAATTGTTCATTGCCAATACAATTATCAATATAAAAAAAAAGACCGGAAAATCCGCACACACGAAAGCTCCACGGACCGTAATTTTTGCATGTCGCTACCAAGCCATAAATATATCTTGAAAATTTGGTTTCCGGCAATTTGCCAATTAGCCAAGTTTGTCGCTTGTGTTGCTTATTTTAAAATTTAAATATTTCAGCCTGATTAATTTTGACTAACTGTAATTGGTTTTCAATCATTTTATGAATGAAATCGGGGCAGATGAGCGGTTATTTCGCGGACTGCCGTCTTGAACGTCAGCAGTTAGGGTCCAACCTTTCCGATGGGAGTAAATCTCACCTTTAGTTTTGTCGCGTTGTGATTCCTTGGTAAGGATTTCTTTTAAATGTTTTACTAACCATTTACTGCTGCTTCAAATTTATGCTTCAGATTTCTTTACTGGTGGATCATTTTCAACTTTCGCATGTTTTGTGGCTCCCATAAAAGTTCTCTTATTGTTATTCTCTTCTTCCTGCTGAACGCCTTTATTCTTCGTTATTCCATCTCCTATTTTTGCTGTTCAATTGTCCTTCGTAGTTAGAACTCCATCAAAGAACTCCATCGAGAGAAACGAGCTTCGATATTCTTAACGGAATTTCTGTCCTTATATCGAATTTTCCATTTTTTGAGTTCCGATTGCTTTGCGAAATAGGCGGAATAATTTTCGATGATCGCTTATACGAGCTGTTGTCTTCCTGTTCAAAATCACATCCTTCCGGCCGTTCCGCCGTCACGATTGAATTTACGCGTACGGAGTTACCGACAATTAGTTCTGCTGATACGTATGCAGTGGCAGCAATAGATCGTCTGAGGCACAGTTTGATTTCCTTCTGAATCACTCGTTCTAGATCACATTTAGCTGATTCATATAGGGCTTCAATTGAGGCCAGTAATTTTCGGCATTTCCAGAGATTAGTGTTTCGGTGATTGGTGAAAGTTATTTAGATGCTTAAGTGTTACAGTTTGAAATGTGTTTAATGCCCCTAAATCTTTTAACTTGAGAAAGTTCAAAGATTTTGGAGGCTATCAATTTCATTTAAATCTTGGTTATAGCCATAGTTATTAATAGTATTAATGGGGTGTTTAGCAGGCTTAAGAAAGGTTTTTCATAAAATATAGGTTTTAAGGTCACCCAGAGAGTTTATATCGCGTTTCATATGGTGTTGATTTAGTGTAAAAGTTGATTTAATTATCTTTTTTATAATTTTATTATTCTTTCTTACTTTATTTGTTTTTTGATAATTCAAAATTTTACCAAATTGGATTCGTTATAACAATTGTTCTATTCTTGTTTTTTTTGATTTCTTTTTGGTTTCACTAATAATCAACTGAGCAAAAGAAGTAGCAATTAGTAGAAAACATTAATATTAACTGTTTTAGGATTTTAGGATTTTTGATGAGCTGAGAATCTTTTTGCCGAGCATATTTTTTTATTCTTGAGGGAAAATTTAATTCAAAGTTTGCTTCGCTGATAGCAGACATGGTTTGTTTAATTTTAAAGATTCATTTTTTATTAGTGAAAATCATTTCTTTTAGATTCAAAGGACTCATGCATTTTATTTTTAATACTTGTAATTTATTTTATGAATTTGAAAAAAATTATATTATTAAATTAAATTATTTAAATATTTTTAAAAAATTTTTTAATCCTAATCGTATTTCAGTTTTTTTTTCTGATTTATTTTATTTAATTAGGAGAAACGGAAAAAAATTTTAAAATCTCGCTTGTTTCTATTCTTCATCTAATTGTCTATTTTAACTACTTTGTCTTAATTTAAGGATCGTCAATCCACGGCTTCTTCAAGTACACGTCTGAAAGAGTTTGGACCTTGGACTGAGCAATATAGCTCATCCGGACGGCGATATTTCTATAATCGTGAAACAGAAGTATCACAGTGGGAGAAACCACCTGAATGGCGAGAATATGAGAAAAATATTACTGAAAATCGTCCAAGTCATAGTCCGATATCGTCTTTATGTCTGTTTTTTTTTTTTATTTTCTATATTTCTCGGAGTTTATAACTAAAGATAAAGTTTTTTATAACTGCAGCTGGAGTTCGAGGTGGTCCTTGTACAGTCTCACAAAATATTCCGCAACGTGTTACAACCGGTCACAATCCGATTGCTGATGATGAATCATTAAAGCGATCAAAGGCCCAAATACGAGAACCGCCACAAACTACGCTAGCACTTCCAATCAAACGTGCAAAAACTGAAATCAAAGAAGAGGATATCATTCCACCAACAGTTTTTAGCGACGAACAGCATCGCAGATTCTTTAGGTGCATTTTTCTTCGCATTATTTCTTGTAAAACAAAAATCTCATTTTTTAAATAATTTTTTGGTATTTATTGAAATTATTTTAGGCATGATTTAGTAAATCAAATTGGACAGTGGCCTGCCGACGATTTAGAACAAGTGGCGTGGAAAGCGGATGCTGCAGCACATAACCTTTCATTACAAATTATCTATGTGTCTTGTGATCTTAAAAGTGCAAGTTCATTAGTGAAAACCGCTCAGATGCGATCCTCTTTACTGGCACGAAAACTTCTTTTCATTTCGGAGCACCAACGCCAACTTGAGGCCAGTTTCGCTCTACCTTCGATGCCTTCAGCTTCTTTCTAGTTTTCCAAGTATTTTTTGTTATTACGAGTTTTTTTCTGGATTTTTGTTAAAAATTTTATATTCCTGGAGTCGCAATATTTTTAGAAACACAAGGTGATTACGATATTATGACTTCAGATATATGAAATGTAGATCAATCAACAAAACAAAGTGTTTGCAGATAGTTAAAAACATGTACTCGACAGAGGTATAAGAAGTATATAAAATGTCATATATAAAATATATATAAAAAAAACAAATTTATGTTAGCGGAAAACTTCAACAACAATTAAAATTTCAATAGTGAATAGTCTAAGGTATTTCTTTTAAAAATAGGCCCTACATCGGTCATGAATTACTTTTTCACTCCTTTCATTTATTACTTCTTCCACATCCATTTCTGATTTAACCAAGCGCAACTGAAAAGGAAAAAATTAGATTATGTTTCGTATTACTAGTTTATTTAAATATAAAAGTACATTGAAGCATAATTTAATCATAAAACAATGCAAATCAGTCCATTATGGGTTAGCTGATGCACCAAAAGATCCTCATTTAATTCTTTATAAATTCGTGGAAATTCGGGATAGTTATTGAAAACTAAGGAAAATTTTAAATGATCTTCCCCCTCTTCCCACCTAAAAGTTAAATATGTATGGAGTGGGTAGATTGAAATAACGCAGCAACAGATACCAATGCCACTTTAAGGTGGAGACTACGCGTTGCCGTGGACCGCGCGCAACCAGAATGGGAACGTATCACCTATAACATGGGTATCCAATGAACCCAAATCCTCACAGTCTGAATAGGTGGTGAGCAACTCAAATGGCCTTTGCTTAATTCCGCTTGGCTAAAGTACCCGCTTAATAACTGTATAATTAACCACTCATTCTATCTAAGAATTATCTAGTATTCTTTAGTTATGTTCATATTGCTTTGGTGATGTGCCATGAGCTACAGTTTTCCTGTGCTTGTCGTAAGATATGACCTTAGCTATGCAACGAAACTCGTCCACTAAATGCTCCGTGGAAACGGTAAAATTATTGGGCTGTGCCATGCCTCACTAGGTACATCGGATATATAGAATGTACACATGTGTTCTCCACAAATTCGGTCAATGCGGATATTGATTGGGTAGCGCAGTGGTATAATTACAGTCACTGCCATGGTGGATGAGTTTTGCACAGTAGGTCCCAATTCATCTATAATATATCTTGAAAATTAGCATTAGAGAAGCGAAGAACCAGAATTAAGAAATGAATCAGATTCTAGAATAACCATGAGGTTGGATTGCACTTTGGCTGAAAGTGTAAAGCGGTCACTCTATTAGGACTCAACTGCAGTTTCCTAAGCGGAGAGCACGTACAGCTCAGTTGGGCTGATGTCCACTCAATTAGATATACTGCAATCCCCCAACTTATGGAATAACAGAGGTGCAACACCGTCATGACTGTATCCGGCATAGCCGGAGATGACCCACCTTCTTTTACTGGATCCTCTTCAGTGGTACGACTGAGACTGTGTGCAGCTGTCGAAAACTCCGGAGTAATATCTGACTTTGTGGCAAATCCAGCTTAACAGGACCTGGGGTCCATTGGGTGGCTGGTAGATAAGATATAGCATACTTATGTTATCGGGAGTTGATCTCAATGTTAAACTGTCTTTTTATGGACATTCAAACTAGAAGAATGTGACGAAGGATGTGGCAGAAATTATTATGTCGTTTCTTGATGAAGAAGGACCTTCAGTTCAAATTTTAAATTTGGCATAACATTCAATTTTTATCACATTAATCACATGCATTGGGTAGTGTCAAACTGATGGGCACCTGGAGGAATACAGCACTTTCGTTGAGTTCACAGGACCTAAATCAACCGTGGTTCTTCAACTATGTTAAGTATTTTTAATATTCGCATTGTGATTCAGCAAGTACATATTGGCACAGATAATATTAGCACTCCACTTCTAAAGTGATTTTGCTAATGTTGGTCGTACTAACCCTAAACCTGAATTAACTATATTCCAGAAGCTCAGAATGTCCATTTTCGTGGATTAGATTAGTATAAGTCATCATAATCTATTATTATATTATTAAATACTAAAATATATTTTACTGTGTATTTTATTTGCAATTGAACTTCAAAATTGTTACACTAAAGCAAATTTTTATAAAGTTACGTAACAACTATCAGTCTTCCCTAACATTGTGGTGGTATACGCACCGATCTGTTCGATCTACCCACAATCTCCACAGATTTTTACTCTACATGATAAACTTCTGGCATATAATCTCTAGTCTACTAATTCTTCTTGATATCAAATTCCTTTTATCTATATCTGGTAAATTTTTTTAAATATATAATGTCAGGCTTTACAATAATGATGATAAATTCACTAGTATTTGGTGTTTGGTCCGCCGATATTTTCCTCCTATAGTTGTTATTCTTACTCTTATATGGTGATCTTCTGACCTAACAATATCTGGTTAATTAACATGAAATATCTGTCTCTGATATAGTAATGCAATCTACCAATATTTGGTTTATTAATATAGTGATATATATAGACCACTATTATTCTCCTTAAGGTGATGTTAGTTTGATATTGTGAAGATTTGGCATCGCCAGATTCTGACCTACTAGTATCTTCTTGATATATGAGCCTCTGATGAACAAATATCTGGTTAATTTACTAATATATATCAGATTCTAATATATTTACGCATTTGTCTAGCAATATTCGTAAAATATTCGTAAGCTTCTGATCTGCCAATATTTGGAATATTAATATATATATATATATATCTAATATATCAATATTTTCATCAATTTGGTATGGTTTAGCGTTGGTCTAGCGGCAACTAATCTGCTAATGTCATCGTGATATCTGAATTTAGCACTATTTAGATGATTAATAAGCTTTGAAGAACTCGTCCAATGATATTTGGTGTAGTGTGTTCATATACTTCTAATATGCTCCAAATATGCTCCAAATGATCCAAATAAACCAATATTCTTTTCAAACCATTGCTACCTTGTTATTTTAGCTTTTTCAGATAACGAATCTTCACAGGTCATTTTAATTTTACAGTCTTGCATATAATCTTTTGTAGAAAGGGGGGAAGTCCGTGACAGTATAATGATGTAAAATTTAATAAAAAATAATTTTACCCTATTCTGAGTGGTTCGCATCTCGCTAAAAGATGTATCATCATTTCTTAATTTCGCTACTTTGCTCTGATTTTCATTTACGCATCGTTGTATCAAATCCATTCGCAGTTTCCTCATCACCAGCAACTGTTAAATAATCTGTTTCAATCCATTCGAGAAAAAAGAAATCGGACAATGCTTATAAAATTGAAATGAAAACAAATTGCTTGTAACTTATTACATTTGTTTCTAACTTCGATTCGTTGAGTTATTCATTTAAAAAAAAAAAAAATAGATAAATTGAGTGAATATAAAGTTCACGAAATGTTGTATAATACCTCTTCGTGAAGTATCCTGCATCGTTTACCAAAATCAACATTCGACGAAAATGAATGACTGGGAAGGGCACTATTCAATTCAAAAAGTACTTTATCATCTAACTGTCGCATTTTATTTAATGCATCCTACAAGTTTATCAATCAAATTCAAATCAAATTTTATCAAAAATTATTTAAAATGAAGAATAACCGAATTTAAATAATAGAAAACATACTTGGAATGTAAAAAAGTCATTGCAATCCACATGTTTTCCATCCATATTTGCTTATTTACGTAATCTCATACCAAAAACTCGTAAAATATTCCCAGCACTTCAATTAAAATAAAATTAAAAGAATCTCATTGCTTAGAAATAATTCGGAAGATTTGCTTGTAGCTGATTTATTAGAATATTATCAATAGAATTCAGGATTATATCTAATTGTTGCCATAAAATGTACCAAAAAATCAAGCTCAAGGAGCGGCGTTTTGATGTAAATGAACAGGCTTTACTGTGGAGTGAATGTACCTATGGGACACCACTTCCGAGATATGAGCATAAGATTTAATTTTTAACCAGAATTTTCCAATCCACGAATCAAATACAACCAGATTTTCATATATTGAATCCATCTCCTGTCTGTATACTGTCTTGATTGCCCACAACTTGCTACACGAGCATGATAAAAACGACATAATTTTGAAGGTTGAAAAATCATTAGAGGATAACAAGTTGTGGGCATCCGCAAATGTTGATTGAGAGCAAGATGAACATTTAAACACATATAAATACAACCACCGTTTTCGCATTTATGCTGAAGTAGACATGTGATATCCGACTTGACGTAAACAATGTAACCTCACTATGCATTGATCTGCGACGGTGTATCTGGGCTGACAGTTCTAAAAGCTTTTTTAAGCTGTTTGCAACCATGTGATCTCATCCAACTTTTCTATATAAGATTCACCGCCATGATACGAAGAATGAAATTTAGGGTTTTAGCAGCCTATTTACTAAATTGACAATTTCAGATAATTGATAATTTGAGCGGTGTCAGTAAAATTCTTGAATAAAAAATACGATATGATCCGAAAAAAGTATATTTTTTCATGGCTTTTTTAACCATATTGTTCTAAAAATTCTAAGAATACTAAGGAATATTGGTAATCTTTAAAAGCACATTATTAACGAAATTTTAAGAAATACATATTTTAAATAGAAAATATCTCAACGAATATCTCGTTACCATAAAATAAAATAGTCCAGAACGATAAAATTAAAAGCTTTATAAACTAATTAGATGATAGCACCAACACAAAAATACTTATTACGAAGGATGAAAAGTGGCCGGTTCAATTAAAATCGTATATTCGGCTTTCGAATTATTTGAAGAATTAATATGGTCAGTAAGAATTTTTCGACCATGAAGCAAAAATGGACTTTGAAAATCATGTCGACAATTGCTCCATCCCATTCCAAGACCAACACCAGAACCAAACCATACTGGAAATAAACGTCCTTTGAATAAAGCCACTGATGAAACGATTCCTATAGCAAGACCACCGCAAATTTTCAATATACTATCCGCGATACATCGATCGACTTTTTCACCCATTAAATCTTCAGACCTCGTTGATTTCATTACCATTAAGAACCTGAAATTCAAAATTTAAGTAAAAGTAGATTTTATGAGAACTGCGTAAATAATGAGTGACTGCTGCTGAAATTATCGCATCAGGCACTAAGATTCGATTCCTCTCTCTTCGCATCAATAAAACTGTCTTTAAAAAATCAAAGTGGAACCGAGAACCTACTTATATTTAGACCCTTAGGTGAATCTAGAAGAAATTTCTAATCGTACTAACGGTCAGCAAAGACAGCCTAACCAGAAACAAACTATTTAATCTTAATTTTCCTCAATTTTAATTTTTTTCTAAGATTTTTTCTTTTCTGTATTAACCACTATTGGAAAACTCCCTGGCTTATCGGACCAGACAAATTTTGCCTGGGAGCGATAGAAATATAGATGGGTCACCAGCATCACAGAGATTTTTGATAAGTACTGCTGGAAGTAGAACCGTAGCCTCGGCACTTTGAAATGAAAGTAGAAGCAAGAACCCACTGAGCTACATCACTTGCCTTTGCCAGTCTAAACAATTATGGACTAACAAATAGATGAAACCTTTTAAAGCATTTCATTTAAGATGATGAATGATGATTTACAAAGACAATCTGCCAAATATATATTGTTTGGTATAAGTGACGGTAATTCCAAGAACTTAAATAGTCTTCAAGGAAATTTGAATAACTTAATAAATCCACCGAATCGATAAATACAAAATTCTACAAATCAATCCACACTCTTCCTATCATTATATATTGAATCGCATTATCTCATAAAAGCCAATTTTGGTCGAGTAATTGACGATAAATTTTACTTTGATTTACTGCAGGAATACCGTTAAGAATTCGTCTAAAATTATTCGTCTAAACCTTATTAAAACCTTCAAAACGAATGAAATAATTTCTCTATCAGCAGTATAAAATCATTCGTTTCCCACATCTGGAATTACTTGTGCAAGATAAATCAGTTTTTAAGAGTTTGCAGTGACATTTTCCTTTAAACCCAGATTCCCCAGTCGATTAAATATAAGCTACAATTATAAGATCTAGATTTACTTAGGATCAGAAATATTAAATAAGATTTGATACGCATCTGATAAGAATTTATCTAATTTTATTAAATTTAGATGATAATGAAATAAGTATCACGACTGAATGTAACAATTTATTTCACAACTTTTTAGCCAGAAACAATTAATGGAATGAACCACCGAGTGACGTTATTTTTGCTCGCTCCGTCTCTGGTTTTAATACAACCTTAATAATTATGTTCATATCATCAAAAGTCCACCTATCTCCAGGTTATAAATATAGCTGTTTTTATCTGTGTTTTAAATGGTTTGCTCATTATTAATACTACTTTCTCTTAAATTGTTGTTAACACCACTGGATCCACTGGATACTGTTACTTTTCCTGGTTCTTTTTTTGTAGTCATGCAATAATTTATATAAGGACAATAATGAAACATCTAAATATCACATGTGATACATCCACAAAAATATAAAGAAAAACAATGTAAATTAATAAAAAATTTATTTCCATCTTAACTGATAGAATGAGAAGGAAGAGATGCCAAAGGTCATAAATACTAATAAAAGGAAAGGAGGAAAATAAAAGATCGTGCAAAAAAGGCAAATGGTACCAAAGAAGCACTGAAAAATTCCCGAAAACAAAAAAAATTAAAAAAAACTTTTGGGATAGAGTAGTCGACTCAAATATCGTTTCTTTGCTCTCTTAATTTACGATTCCAAGCTTTCTTCTCTTTTTCTTTCCTTCCCTTTACCTCATAAGCTTCAGTTCTTGCCTTTTGGTGTAAAAAAGCCTTGTCATTAAGAGTAGCCTGGATACATCCATCAGCACTTTTAGGGCGAAAGAATTTTTCTCAGCACTACGTGAAGCCTATTAAACTGGCAATGGTAAGTTTTCCATACCAATATACTAACATCAGAACCAATAATTTATAACTTTCTCCGCCTTGTTTCTATTCTAATAATCAATAAAAAAGTCTGCTTATGTCTTGAAAGGTTATAAAAATTAAACAAATTATTTTGAAAGTTTACGCCATAAAATTGTAGATAAATATCAATACTAAGGTCACAAAAACCTTGGTGGGCATAAAAAATGGAACGCGCGACACAATCCGACTCCTCACTTCCTCTCTCCCACTCCCTGAACTTAAGCAAAAAATAATAATCTAATACGAACTGCCAAAATTAAAGTTTCAAAAAATTGGCCGTAATTGAACATTCGTTTCAAAACCCAATTTTTTTAAAACTCTCAATTGGGCTTAACCTAACTTCTTCAACCATATGGAAAATAAACCGTATTAATGTTCCAGAAAGGAGGGATAATTGTTTTAATGCATTATAATAGTAAAACAGACGATTTGTTGCTGCTGAGAAGGGCTCAAATTTTAACCTCGGCAGTATAAACCTATCATTAAAAAATTCGAATGACGACCCATCTGCACTACTGCCGAGTAAGATCCCTAGAAAAACTTCTCATTGCACTAAAGGATCGAGGCTAACCAGAAATAGCGAAACTTCCATAAGGAAATTACCTGATTTCCTTATGAAAAACAGTTCTGAGCATGCTTAAAGGATTTTTTAAAATATAATATTATGCAGATTAAGGAGCGAGTTTAACCAGTAATGGTGAGGACTCCTAAAAAAAATAAAATAACTAAAACCTATAGGCAAAACTAAGCTTACAACGCATAATTTTCTTCTTCGCACCATTGCTGGAATTACTGGAATAAGCTACCGAACGATGTGCTCGACTATTTTTAAAAATACCATCAATTGTCTTACAAGTCAATACTGAACAAGCGGATTCCTAAGGCATCGTTGAAATATTGGATTGGGAATTTCAGTTTTTCCAGTTTTTTTAGAACATAATGTGTCAGCCAGGGAAATTATTCATTGTGAACTTATATTCAAAGAGAAAGAGAATTTTGGTCGACTGTTATTATCGATGAAGGAACAATTGAAAACTTGGTACCAGCAGTCAAGGTACCAAGAATGGATCTCTAGAAATTTCAAATTTACTACCTAACTACTTTTAAAATTTTGATTTTTATTGATTTATTCTTTTGAAATACCTTTTTGTCTTGCTGTGACCAAAGCTTATCAAAATGGAAAATACCAATTAATTAATTAATGAATTAATTAAGTGCTTGAGTAAAGGAGAAGATTTTAGGATAAGACTTTTGAAAACTTGGACTACCCATAGAAAAATCTCCTTGCACATCTCAGAGACAGAACAACTTAAGTCAGATATCAGTCAACTTGCCTAGCATGTAAACAATGGGATATAAGAATGGGAGATTCCAATAAATCACCCCCATAATACCAATAAGGATGCTGATATTAAAGAGAACAAATTTATGGGAGCTAGCCCAAGTGAGTATTTACGTCTTGTTCAACAGAGACGTAAAGTAACTCCAGATTTGGACGCCATAATCAAATGATAGAAATTCAAGTGACAAAAAGATCACAATAAAGATGGAGAATATAGGAGAAGAGTTGCAGAAACTTCAACCAATGATAAAACTATCGAAGTTACAATCGACCACATTCGACGGTTCGATAAGGAACTGGGTCAAGGATAACTTTCTGACAACCACTGGGAATAGAAGATCAAATGAATAAGCTTAAATTCTCGTACCTTGTCTGTAATGAAAAGTAAAGAAATTGGTGGAAGGATCCCTCGTGAATATCTTGAGAGCAGGTACGGAGATAAAACTGCAAACATTCAGAAATTATATAAAGAATTTAAAAAATTAAACTCCAAAATAAAGAATATAAAGGATATTCGCAAAAACTTCAAACAGATATTCGCCAATTAATATTAAAAGATATCTCGATCAACAATAACTCGATTATAAGCATGGGCACAAGCTAAATTACCAGTGCACATACTAAAAAAAGTTCTAGAAGAAAAAAGAAAATGTCCAACCTGAGATATAAGCGAATGAATGCATTGAAAATCTGCGAAAGAGAAGGAGCGCAAATGAGTAGAATGATAGGAGCAGTGATAAAGAAAAGTTGTTAAAGCGTAGATCTAGCTTAACTTCAAAAGGGAAGATAACCATGAGCAGTTGGAACATATCAGGTCAACCATGGTAAGGAATAAACTATCAGCCAATGCAAATAGTATGACATGTATATTTTGCGTTAAGCAACATTGGAGCCACCAGAGCATGAAGATGATGTCTTATGAAGGTAGATTTCAAATCCTAAGAAAGCTTCGGTGCATACAACCGGGTAACAAAGCCAGTGAGTATATAGCAGTATTATAGCAGAATTAAAAGTACCAACTACTAGAAGAATCATAATACAGCAATGCGCCAAGAAAAAAAGAAATGTAACAACTTGGACAATCAGACTAAAGTGAGAGTGACCACTGGAAATTGAGAGAAAAAACAATCGGAAATGAAATATTTCTTCCTTGCAGCGAGATATTGGTCATAAATCGTCAAATCCAATGATGAGGACTTGAGAATTATTACTTGGTAGGGGAAATCAACGGTCATATGCTTCAAAAGTTCTAAACTTACAGGATTTAAACTTACTTACAGGAGATGCGACTTAAACAAGAGAACAATAAACATTTGCAACATTTGCAATATTGAGCCTCGAGAAACTCCCTGGAACACAGTTCACCGGTTATAGAGGCAGATGTAATATTAAAAGATGGATCTACATTTATTATAGTGGCCAATACGATGAAACAATTGACGTCGGAAGTTAGATATATGCAACTGAAAGATTTTAAAACTTCACAAACAGAAGGGATAATGAAGAGAGAAAAGTCTGACTTACTGATGGGCTCAGATTATTATTTCTTGTCAAGTAAGACAAGGAAGTGAAAAAACATTACAAAAGATATGCCATAACTTATTAACCCTGAGCTAACAATATGTTCCACAATTACAACAGAAATACTGGCTCCCAACGGGCCGACAAACTGTGAAAAATGCAGAAAGAGAGAACGGTATGAGACAGCAGGATAGTCAATGTGACAATATTAGATAGTATCCCTCCTCTAAAATCTATAAAGGAGGAAGAACCAACCCCTGAAGAACATCCTGCGCACCCCGTACCATAAGGGAGCCAGGATGTAATGGTCTTAAAGAATAGAGATGATTCCCAAGCATTTTAAGTTCACCTCTAAAAAAAAATTCTAGACGCAGCTGAGATTCGTCATTAAAGCAAGTCAAATTCTTATTTTTATTTTACCTCCTTTTTTTTCAACGATATCAATTTAAGAAATGATTTCAAAGAGGTGGCGGATATTACAAACAAAGAATTATAGACGGATCATTCCTCAGAAATATTTCAAACCATTCCTATCTTGTTGATAAATATCGATGGAATTTGAATAGGATATTTTTCAGGCAAGAATCGAGTCGAGAATGGCCTAGATATAAGTTTGGGCAAGCCATTTGGGTTGGCTTGCAATATATCTCTTCCCCAGCGAGAGCAACAAAGAAATAAGATGGACAAGACTTAATAGAAAATATTACAGAACAATAATAGAGTACCTCAATAGGAGGAGGTACAGTAAGGATAACTTCCATTTTGAGAAGATAAGAAGACGAATCTTGTACGTAAAACTCCTAAGATGCCACTCTTGCTCATTTGGGATTTGAGGAAGAATGAGGGGAGATGAAGGAGATGGGAGCAGAGATAGGTGAAGGGACTGGGAAAAGTTTGGTCGGGTAGTTGTTGCCGTCGCCTTCTTTGCTTTGGTGCTGGGCAGTGCTTTTCCCATCCTCTGCCGGTTTGCCATTCGGATACAGATGCCGCAGCAGTTTACACACTACTTTTTTATATTTTGTATATGTTGTAAGTTGTAAATAAACGGTTCAATTACCTAACTTTGGGGCACAATATTCTGTATTAATCGTTTCGTAGTGCCATTCGGATACAGAAGTGTACTATTGTAAAACGAGCGCTGGCTGCAGTAGATATATTCATTTGTCAGAACATTACTGCGTGGCAGGCATATATAAAACAATGCAGGAGCAGATTCCTAAGGCATCGTTGAGATCATTATTTATATATATATATATTGAACGGTCAGACGGTCGCTCAGATACATTTACGGCGGTATTTTTGCCGGATATTTTTTGGGATACCACAGCTAATAAGACATAAGGTATGAGTTATGATTCCACTATTGATTCTACTGAAGGATTATCACCTCGTTAATTAATAATTAGCACAACAACGAAATCACCTTCTTCATTGCGAAGTACTACTTGATATCTATGATACTGCAAAATGAAAATAATAAATAATTCAACAAAAATGAAAATATAAAATATTTAAAAATAAATATCGATGATATCTCTGAAACGACCATTAAATATTGGTCCGACCTAAAGGCATAACTCCGAAAACTGAAGCAGAACAGTAGTGTCGGACACTTCGAAAATAAGGCGGTTGTTCAATTATCTAATAATAGAAGTTATTTCGCCTTTCTCAACTACGAGATACGAAATGATACGAGATAATGAATGATGAGCCTGTTAGAACTCTCAAGTAGTGCATCGCTAGAATAATGGATGCTAAAAAACAAAAGGACCAACCAATACCTGGAATGATATAGTTAGGATAGTTTTTGAATGCATAGGGTATATATACAGGTTTAGACGACTGCGTTGGATCGACTTGCAAGCACTTTTGCAGCCAGCTGAGCTAACTTAACAAACAATGGTGACTAAATTGCCAGAACAAGAAGATACAGAAATAAATCTTATTTTGATAGCATTTATCATTTCTGGCTTGGCTGGCTGGCTATTAAGATGAGAACCATTCGTCAAAGATTCTTAATCATTTGGCGATAGAAGCATAGGCGCATCTCCTAAATCATCAGGGCTTAATAGCAGATTTATTCCTGGGACTTAAGCCAAGGAATAGATAATAGTATTTCGCTTGACATTTACCTTCTTAGATTAAATTTCCAGAAGCTAGAAAATATTATGCTATTATATTTCAAATATATTTCAAATATATTTGAATATTTTGTCTCACAACGAGTGTTTCATTATTGAGGGATATTTGAGATAATAAAGATGATTTGAAGGGGATTTGAAAAGTAAGGAGTAAGGGAGGGTGTGGTTGTTTAGTTTGGAAGGCGTTTTGGTTATTAGTGAAGTCCACCCAGTCGTTCGTGGAACTTTCACTTCTTTACCAGAAAAGAGAAAATTCTTGTAAAAAATCGAATTAATTTAATCAGAAATGAAAAAACCAGTTGTAGTGAACAAGCGAACTTTCTCTTAAGACTTAATTGAAGGAATTTTGAATTTTGAAGAAATAAAGAGAAAAGAAAACTAATTTAAATTTTTACGGATCTTTAAGAATTCTCATATTTATTAGAGTAACTGAAATGCAGAGTCATAGCTCATCCATAAATAAAACAACACTTATATTTTGCCTTTTCTTCCTAAATATAACTTTTTTTTATTTGTAAAAATATGGTTGAAGATATGTTGTTTTGTTCATTTTTCGTTTTTAATTATTTTTCCTTAGGTACTCAGTTTTGCGTTAAATTGGTTGCAGTGTTAAATTATTAGGGTGAGGCAGTTTTTGTCAAACAGTCATCTGGGGATAGAACTACAGATTATTACTTCAGCGCTACCTGGATTTAACTTTTAATGGCTTCTAGTCGAAAGGCAGAAAATGGACCATCTTGAACTAATATTATTATCCTTATGATTATTATTGTTATTCATTATTTTCAGTACTTCCAATGTGTATGCAAGGATTATTCTCTCTTTGTTCTTTTTTTTTTAATTTTCTTTTTCTCATTAAAATGGATGGATTATTACCATGTTTGATTGTTATTTTTATTTTTTTACGTCTTATTCATTATTTAATTTTTGTCTATTAGCATTTATTATCAAACTGATAACAATTAATAGTAAAACAAATTTTATTGCATTTTGCAGTGCAAATCGTATTTTTGATTCTCTGATTATTGATGGAAGCAAATCTTTTCATTGCAATTTTATTATTTTGTAAAGTTTGATTTGTGTATTTAATTATTACTAGGAGGTTTTTTTGGTCTGTTTTAATTTTGATAGAAATTTTTCACTCAAAATATCACTCTTTGTTTTAAAGAGAACAAAGGAACATTGAAAAAAAACTTGAAAAATTTTATTATTTCTTTCTTTTGTGTTTCATATAAAAAATATTATATTTTTTTAAACGTATTTCTCCAGTTTATACTATACTTAATTTCATCTTGTTAGTGAATTATTTGCTGGCGAATTCAAATTCTTGTTTATTTTTTAAGGTAAATGGATTACGAAGATATTATTGCAAAATGTGATCATTATGATACTACGAATTGCTGGGACGAAATTCTTCAGGTACTATAAAATTTGATTAAAAAATATGAAACATGGTGAATCGGAGAAGTATTACGAAATGTTACGGATTATTTTGTTAAATATTTACTCTTTTCGTAAATTAGATATAACTTTCGAGATATTTATTTAAATACCTTTTTTTATATAAAAATTAAGTTTTTGTTTTCCTTCAGTTCTCTTAAAAATTGAACCTTAAGAATTAATGGATTAAAATTATCAATAAAATTATCCATTATCAAATTTCCAATTTTTCTTTTTAAATATCAAAATATATTTCTCATTAATTTGTTGCTTTATTTGTTTAATTATTATTACAACAATAATAATGTTGCATATAATTCATATTTTTTTTTTTTAAAGAGTTCTCACCATTACTGGTTAAACTCGCTCCACTGGCTTGTCGCATTGGGCAATATGCCAGAGAGTCCCTTGGCGATAGAAATATAGGTGAATCACCAGCATCACCCAGATTTTTGCATAGGCTTACTCTTGCGGAAAATCGAATCTCGGCATCGGCGTTCCGAATTGAACAACAACCCACTGAACCATCCATCCCCGAAATAAATAATTCATACCAGTTTAATTTAAATTTTACTACAATTTTACTTATTACATTTTCCAGGTAATTTTTTTGTAGGATATTGAAGAAACATCTCGTAAAGAATGTGCTGAAAATAAATTTACAACAAAAACTGCTTCCATGTATTCAAATTTTTCAAAAAATCGTTACACTAACGTTCTTCCATGTAAATTGTTCTATTCATTTTTGTTTTTTATCTTGCTATGTATTGTTACTGGTCAACTACTTATATATTTCGACGGATTTTCGTCACTAGCGAGAAATCTAATACAATCTTTTGAAATTTGGGTCATCTCTTTTTTAATTGGTTTAATTCATTTTCTTCGTTAATGTGGTTTTGAAAAAATTCAAAATTTTGTGAAAAAGTTTATTCTATAATATTTAGTGTTTTATAGTTTTTATAGGCTAAAAACCAATATATAATCGATTTCAGATGATTATAATCGGGTAAAATTGAAAAAAGTTTATGATGGATTCACTGATTACATAAACGCATCATTTGTTGAAATGGCATCGGCAAAACGTTCTTATATTATAACTCAGGTATTATTTCTCATATTTCTTTGGAAATTATTAATCTTAGAAATGTTAATCGTCAGTGCTGATCCAATTATTTGAAATTTGGGTGATCTCTTTCTTAATCGGTTTAATTCATTTTTATAATTAATTTTCTTCATCAATGTGGTTTTGGAAAAATTCAACAGGATCGCGAACTAATGGCTGGAATGTTAAATGGATCATGATCAGTTTTCACAGATTTTATTGCAAGATTCTTTGGGACCTATAAAAAACCTATGTAAATTTTGCTTGTATCAGGGACCACTTGAGTCGACATCTAATGATTTTTGGCAAATGGTTTGGGAACAAGAAAGCACTTTAATTGTTATGCTGAACAAATGTTTCGAGAAAGGAGTATTAAAGTTTATTTTTTATATTGTCACTTTTTGAAAGTCGAATGGAGATATAATTTAGAACGTTTAATAATTTAGAACGTTTACTTGTATAATGTTTTTTGAGATTTTGAAATTTTTTTTCCTATACCGCATCCGAGGGATTTTTTTTCGTTAGCCCTTATATAATTAATGGTTTTTTAACCATTGTTTTTCATGTGCTTCCAATATTTCCCTACGGAGGCAAATCGGAGATGCGTTTTTGAAACATTTGACATAACTTTGGAATCATTGGAAAAATTTGACCATTATGTTATTCGAGAATTGAAGTTAATTGTGAAAAATAAGGAATTGCTTGAAAATGATACATCTTGCGAGCGAACTATATTGCATTTTCAGTTCATTAGCTGGCCGGATTTCGGTATTTATGTTTTTTTTGTTAATCCAATTTTATTTGAATCTTTGCAACTGCATTAATGGTTTCAGTATACGTTAATGATTTCAATTTTTCAATTTTCGTCCATTTTTAATGTTTCAAGAATTATGAAAATTATAGGTGTGCCAGAATCATCAGAAATTTTCCTGGATTTTCTAGATAAAGTTCATGCAACTGGATGTCTAGACCAGTCTGCGCCAGTTATTTTACATTGCTCTGCTGGTATAGGTCGCAGTGGCACTTTTGCTGTTGTTGATTCAATTATAGCAATGGTCACTAATTAACATTTAATTTTCAATTTTTTGTTTTCTTTTCATTTTATTTCTTATGAAGATGATCGACATTAATTCCTGTTCTTGCGGACGTTTCCATGAAAATAAGCCCATATTCATAAAATATGAATTATTTTGCAGGTTGCAGAAAACGAGAAAGAAATCAATGTAGAATCAGTAATTCTGAAAATGAGAAGAAGTCGAATGGGCATAATTCAGACAGCAAGTCAGTTACAGTTTTGTTGGAAGACCATAGCTTTTGCTTTAAAAGGTCGACATGGAAAGGAAAAGTATAATGTTTCGAAATCTATTCTTGGTGCACCTGGTCAGTTGGACTGTTCTTTTTTGCAACGTTCATCGGGTAATCAGATGACATCAGGATTACAAGCAAAGTCACTCAGCAACTTATCAATCCGCAAGCGATCGTCTATCGATAGTGACAGTGAAAGAGAAAGAAAACTGGCTAGGCGGTATGGTAATGCTTATAATTTAAAGCAATTTTTTAGTGAATAAAATTTTATCAAAAGATGCAAAATTATTTCTGGTCAAAAAGAATTTTTCAGTATTTATTAATCATTATATTTATGAAATCAAAGAGAAAAAATAGTAAATTATTCTTGTTTTGAATAATATTTTATATTCTTTTGATTCTTTTAGTTCATTTTTTAATTTTATTATTAATAGAATAAATTTTGGTTTTTTTGCTTATATCAAAAAAAAAATCGAATTTTTCATTTCTAGGCCAAATATGCAACACTAAATGTTTTTTTACCATTTTATTAATAAATATGGTGCGGACCTTCTCGAGAACTGGACCATATATAAATTTTGTATTCTTTAGTTTTTCAGGAGAGAGCGTATAAAGGAAATGCGCGAAAAAATAAAAGAAAGTGAGCATAGAAGACGGTCGCATGTAAATCGCGTATTCAATAAACCAAATATTGGTTTCATTTGCGCTACAGTTGCAACAATAATTATCTCATACTATGCTTATCGTTTTTTTACGTAAATATCTCAATTTTTCTATTAGCGATTTTTTTTAAATTTTCATTTCTGATTTTAACTGCCGACTTTCTCATGTTACTCAATGTTGAAAAGCAAAAAATCCATTATTTTGTAGTTTTAATCTGATTCATTTCCTTAATATTATCAATATATTTATTGCTATCGAAATTTATGAATTCGGGTTATTGGTGAGAATTATTCGATTTGAGAAGTTTATCCGTTTTATTTCTTTTTTAGTTAAAATTGCTTTTTGATAGCAAATCTAATTATGTTCAGAATTTTTCGAATTTTTTCTTATTAACTTTTTATTTACACCTTGTAATGAAGTTAGTTGTTTTGTTTGTCAATCACTTTTTGCTTCCTTGATAATTCAAAAATTTTTTCTCCTAAATTTTCATTATTTTAATCAGGCTATTTTTTTCTTTTCAAATCTTATAACAGATTTTAATTTATCAGTATTCTTGAATTTTTTTCCTGATTGTGGCCTTACCTCTCGCCTTTTTTGGGTTTTGGTTGATCTTGCAACATATCAGAATTTTTACCAATTTTTCCCTCAAATCTCTCTCAGCTGATATATTGGCCATTTCTTCTTCGTACAGAGAGTAATATCAAATGGACTTAAAAAAATTTTTCGAGGACTTCTGAAAAATGAGTTTTAAAAACTTCAATGTTTCTTATCAATTCGTCTTAACTTCAGCTTACCTTGTCTTATTACCATAGTGAAATTTTTAATTTTTTTGTATTTTTTTCGTTTATAGAATAAAACATATTTATAATATTTTTTTACTAAACAGTTGATGGGTAGATTTGTATTTCAAGCAATGTAAAAAAATCTTTGTAAATTTATATGAAAGTTATAGTAAAATCTGTTTCGTCTTCTAAACGGGATTATTTTACTGTCTAATATTCTATTTTTTCAGTTAATTCTCAGTTAATTAGTTAGTTAATTTAAAAAAACTTGCTTTTCTTAAAAAAGCTTCATTTAGCATTCTAATGTTTTCTTTCAAATTGTTTTCTTTTCTGGATTTTTAAAATATCTTAGAATTTTTATCTCCAGAACTGATGTTTAGCGGAAGCTTCGGTAATCGGACGTCGAATCTTTTCGCATCATCTACCGCAAATCCACAGAATCCTCTGAATGACATTGAAGTACTTTTGATTTTATTCAGAAATTATTCTTTCAAATTTTAAAAGAATCTAAAAAAATGAATCACATTTTTATTCTGTTATGCTAATAACGAAATAGCTTAAAAATTTTTTATATCAGCTCTTGAATTTTTGGGTAAAATTTTTTGATGAAGTGATCATAGGTTCCTTCGCCGCCAGATGATACAGTGGAAGCATTGAAATTCAATCCGCAGATTGCAGGCCAACCGGTATTTTTAGTATCGGGAAGTTGGGATTCAGTAATTCGCGTATGGCAAATTAGTGAAACCGGCCAGTGTGAAGCTAAAGCTCAACAAACTATTGGAGGACCAGTTATGGACCTCGAATGGATTGATGTAATTTTTACCTGAATATTCAAATCGTTAAGCATAACTTGTAGATTATAGAGAACATTTCTCTAGAATGTTTTTGGAGAATCAAAAATGAGATCTAACTTGGAAGGAGAGTTTAGAAAGAAGTGCGTTTAAGGGATTGAGGTTTTTCAAAAATTTTAATAACTTTGAAATCCACTTTTTGAAAAAACTACGAGTTAAAGTACATTTGATTGATATAACTATAATGAAATTGAAATTGAAATTTTAATTATAAAAAGTTTAATTATAAAAGTCAAAAATTAAAGAAAATTGCCAAATTTTTATTACATAGCTCATTAATTAGAGCATATTTTTTAATTTTTTGAAGGATGGGACCAAAATTTTCATTGCAAGCGCCGATAAGCAAATACGTTTGTGGGATTTAGCTTCAAATCAAATGGCTGTGGTAGGCACAGTATGTTTTTATTTTTTCTTCAAAACTTCCAAATTGTTGGTTTTTTTCAAATCTCTAAGATCGTTAATCCTTGTTATTTATTAAATAAAAATTCGTTTTCAGCATGATGAACCTGTTAAATCATGTCATTGGGTTAAGTCAACTAATTATAGCTGTTTAATGTCTGGTTCTTGGGATAAGACTTTGCGGTTAGTGCAGATCTTATATGCATTTGCGAACTTTTTTTATTATTTATACATAATGTATTTAGTATATTTCAGCTTTTGGGATATGCGGCAGCTACCAAATCAGACGTCTTTAGCTACGTTACAACTTCCAGAACGAGTTTATTGTAGCGATATGCTTCATCCAATGGCTGTTATTGGACTCGCAAATCGCCATATAAAAGTATTCCAATTAAATTTTTTTAAGTTAATTTTTTCGAAGCCGTTTTTTGAATATATTTTTCCACAAATTTTCACTTTCAGCTGGTTGGTTATGATTGGTTGAATATTAAGAAATGGAAATTAGGAACTTTCTGGCCGAATTTACCAAATTTCTTGATATTTTTTTTAACTCATTACTTTAAGGGGTAGGATAATGCAGTGGATATTATTATGTTTTGAGAGGCAAGGTTTTTACTTCTCGAGTAAACATACTGTTAAAAAATCTGGGTGGTGCTGATGCTGACCCCTCTTGTTCTTCTAGCTAGTCTGGAGAACATTTCTGACCTACAGCCAATAGCTAGTCTAATTGAAAACGGTGAGCGCTAATTATTCACTTTACGGCAAAACATTTATTTATTCCACGTGAAATTATTGCGTTAATAGAATTTTAGTTTAAGTTTTAGCTTGTCTTATCTTGCTATCATTTCAGTACCATATCCATTTATCCATTCATCACCAAATGTTTTTGTTATTGTCTTCATGGTAGTTTCCGGATTAAATTACCATTGCTTAACTTTTTTTCGTTTTTTGTTTTTCAGTTGTTTTCTCTCATTCATCCATTTTTTTGAATATTTTTTTTCTTTTTAGTCACCAGGGATGAATGTGGAGTATATAAAATTCTTCATATTTTTTATTATTTATAGGTTTATCGATTGGATGGTGAACCTACTGAAATCAAGGATATCGAAACACCCTTAAAATATCAGGTATAAGGTGTCCTTTAAATTTTTTTTGATTTTGAACTATTCATAGGAATTGGGAATTTCTTTTTATTTTCGAACCATATTTTTCCGTTGAATCCCTATTGTATTGATTACTGGATTACTTTATCAGTGGATTTGCAGAATCGTTGTATTGCAATATTCAAAGACAAAAATAATGGCCTGCCGACTGGTTTTGCTCTTGGTTCAACGGAAGGTTTATCATATCTATTTTTTTCAATCTTTTACTTATTGAGAAAACTAGGAAAATTATGATTTAGATCAAGTTAAATGCATTTGATCAAATATCAATTCAACGCTGATCGTACTATTAGTGAAAATTTGCAAGGAATCGTGGTTGTTTTTCAGGACGTGTTGCATTACAGTACGTTGAAGCTCCTAATCCAAAAGACAATTTTACTTTTAAATGCCACAGGTCGCCTGATCTCATCAACGGATATCAGGAAATATATGCAGTTAGGATTTTTTGGCTTTCATTTAATAATTTATTTTTTGTTTTATTTATTTCGTTTTAATTTCGTTTAATTTTGTTTTGCAAAATACTTTATTATTTCAAAATCAACAATTGCAGGTGAATGATTTAGCATTTCATCCTTCATATGGCACTTTAGTTACTGTTGGGTCTGATGGAAAGATTTCATTTTGGGATAAGGATGCCCGAGCAAAGTTAAAAATATCGGATGCTTTGCCTGCACCAGTAACAAGGGTTACCATTCATCCATCAGGACAAATGATGGCTTATGCCATTGGTTACGATTGGAGTAAAGTAATTATTGAATGAATTTTTTAAAAAAAGTACCATAAGGTAGACTCAAAACAATAAATTTGGGTTTTTGCATGTTATTGGAATTTTTTAAAATTTTCATTTGTTGAATTGTTGAAATTTTCATTTTTCAATTTATTAATTCAGGGGCATGAAGGACATAGTTCAGTGAACGCGGGTAGCAAGATATTCTTGCATGCTTGTGATGAAGATATGAAACCAAAACCAAAAAAATAAACGATACGTGGATATTGATCAATATTAACTTAATCTTTACATCAGAAGATTGCTGGAACAAATTCCGATAAAAAAAGAATATTATTTATTCAAAAACGCACTATAATATTATGAACTCGAATTAATATGATTTCAAAAAAAAAAAAAAATCCGGGCTTAGCGAGAAAATAGCATTAAAGTTCAAGAAAATTGGTAAACTTTGAAAGACAGTGAATAGTTAAGGTTTAGTTTAGTTTATCATAAACTGTTTTATTTTATTTACTTTCGAAGCTAAATGTTGTTGGGGCCAGGATTGGTGGTTTGTTCCAGTTTATTCCAATAACAAATATATATAAGAAAAATAACCTCTACCATTCCTCTGGGGATTCCTTTTTCTTATTTCTGGCTGGTAGGCGTATCTCGTGGCAAAGCCACAAGAGTGTATGCCGGAGGAAATTTTCAAAAGGAAATCTTTGGTTGAAGCCAAAATCCGAAGGTTAAGCAAAACAATTTCATTTTGAAAATTCCATCTGAGGTTTCAGCGTAGGATTGAAAGTATTAAAAGGTTTTAGAAAAAATTTTATTTGATTTCATCAAAAATATTTCTACATTTCTCTGCATTAAATGTATTCCATGACATGGGCAAATATCTCTTTTCTGGAAATTGTTATAGGTTTTGCCAAGTTTATTGAGTTGGTACTAGATATCGAGTACTTTGGCTTGGCTTTGGCTTCACCAGTTGAACAACATAACTGTCTTATTCATAAACTTTTATGAAATTTATACTTCTTATCATTCACGTTTGAAATGTCTCATGCTGTAGTTATTTTTCAATTTATTAAAGGGAGCAAAAGGAATATTTTCAGCACTTTAAATCACAGACCCAAAAGCATAGCTGTAAAATAAGTTAATTTAATAGGCAGCGAATCGTCTGACAGAGAATCCGTTAGTCGTTTCACTAAATGAATCATTCATTAAGAACTTTGTCTTAAGAGTCTTTTCTTCTTTTCCCTAATATTTTGTATTTATTTAAGTATAAGTTTGCAGAGCATAAAATTATACACTAGGATTAGTGATAACGAATGGGGATAGAATGGCTCAGTAGGTTGCTCAATTGGGAACGCCGATGCTGAGGTTCGATTCCCCGCAGGAGTAAGCCTGAAAAAAATCTGGGTGATGCTGGCATCTCACCCGCATTTCTACCGCCGAAGAACTCCAATGCAACAAGCCAGCAGAGTGAGTTATGGTGAGATGGTGAGGGCTCTTAAAAAGAAAAAAAGAAAAATGATAGCAAATGATAGTAATATAAGTGTGATCAGAATAAAAATTGGATCAAGGTTTCTTTTTACTTTCAACTGACTACCTTAAGGAACTGCCGAAACCCGAGACACAGACCTAACAGATTTAACTTTACTATCTGGAAATTTTGAGTCCTTATGCAACATAATGCAGGATAACTGTGTTAAAGCCACACGTTTATAATTTCTTGTTGATGAATTAAGAAATATTTTTAATCAACCTTGAAATTTACATCTGTTTGCTAATTAAGGGAAATTATAGTTTCTTGCATTTTTCGGAACCTCCGGCTCCCGGTCTCAGTTTTTTAATCGAAGTCAAAATCGAAACCCAAAAGTGGATCCCAAAAGTGAAGTCGAAACCAAAGGAATCTTGGTTATATCTCTACAAAGCTATAACAGGATGGAGAGCGACGATGGTGACAATACGATGTTATACTAGGATATTGCTTCCACAACAAACAAAACAAAATAATCAAAAATTAGCGCAAATGTTTCTGTCGTCCATTAATTCCAAAAATATCTGGTCTTTAATGCGGCAAATCAGACCCTCATTCCTATCAAAATCGGACCTCGTAATTCCTAAAACCGGTCGGATGTTCGCAGCCGATTACATTTGGCTAGCAATTGGCCGACGAATAAATGACGGGCGGCTAAAACAATAATTGATGGGCTCAGCTATTATAAATCTTTTCTATATCTAAAAGCCTTTATGTTCGCTTCATCAAAACGCCTTTTATTAGATCGATTTTAAACATTTCGCTTCAAATAAATTCATCAAATTTTAAAAAATTTAATAATGCAATTTCATTTCTCCTGAAAGATTGAAATTTAAAAAATATTTCAGAAAAACGTTTCGTTCACCTACGATTTTCCTGGGTTTTCGGTTCCTAAACTTCGCAAAAAATTAAATTGGTGCCAATTGGGAAAACGTCTAACTGTTTACCATACAATTCCCTAAATTTCTCTAAATTTCCCTAGATTTGCACAGATTTTTAACCATCGTAAATAGACTCACATCCCCCCCCCCCCCCCCCCCCCCCCCCCCCTCCCACGCATATTCTGATTGAAGCTAGCAAATATTCCTAGATGCTTTCGAAATTCAAATAGCTGCTAAATGTGGGATCCTTGCCAAGTTTTCCATTTTCGTTGTAGGATCTGCCTATTTATTCAATCAATATCTTTAAACGACTTTGTCAATTTATTGTAGACTGGCTAGCTTTATTATTTGTTGGGTGGGTAAAGGAGGAGGTGGCGTGCAGCATTTATGGTTTTTATTTTATATATTGGATTTTTATTTTTGACTTGGCTGGTACCACACCATTGAAGCGTTGCGGTTCTTTTCTGTTTTCTTATTTTCTTTCACCTGTTTTTTCTTCTTATTCTCTTTTTCTCTATTCTTTTATCGCTGTATATCAGATAATATGGAACTGTTTCGAATATTCGATTTTTTATCTTCTTTCTTTTCTATGTGCTTTATAAGAGCAAACAAAATTATTTTTCAGTGAGAATGAGTGAAAATAATAGCGACGATGATATAAAAAAGAATTATAATGGGAAAAGAAAGCGAAAAAGTGATGAAAGTTTCGCTGAGAAGAAGATAAAGATCGAGGTTTTATCGGTTTTTTCAAATTATTTTTTGTTTAATTCACTTGTCTGACGTATTTTTCAGCATGATGTGTTTAACTGCAATGGAATGAAAGGCGATGAAGAGGCATTAAGTATTGCGTCTTCGTCAAAATGGTTGAATCCTGTTGAAATGTCACATGTTGTGGACGTTAGTGTTTTTCTTTCCTTTTTTTTCCTTCCTTTTAAACGAATGTCTCTGTTAACGAAAATATTAAAAAAAAATTTTATTTTGCTGTTTTGTGGTTTTTTTAAAATTTTATTTCAATTTATATAAAAAGGAAATCCTTCGTAACGGTGCACGGGAAAAGTGAAAAGTTCTGATTCATACATTTAGCATAGCTATTTCGCATTTGCGTGTGAATATGTATTGGGTCTGAATCTTTGGGATTGTGTCGCAATAGTTCAGCAATGTTAAGCTTCACTTTAAAATATATACAAGATGTGCGAGTGTGGTACGAATATATAAGATATGAATGAATATGTGATATGAATGAATATTTCAGGGAAGGTAGCAAAAACAGCAAAAAATCATAATTTAATGCAGTGTTAGAAAAACGTAACGGTTTCATATAACTGTGGTGTTAAGAAATTGTAACGAGAAAGAATTATAAGTTGTTATCGAGAATATGATGGCTTAAAGAGTTGAAGAGAATGTTCCAATGCCATCACATTAGAACAGGATGGTATTGCACAGTTGGAATTTTGGAATTTTGGGAATTAAGTAAATTCTTCTAACAGCTGTCGTTTTGGCTATGGTGGTTCCGCTGACTACCTTGTAGTACGACATCTCCAAGCTCTTCGGTCCGACACCATTACTGACAATAACAGAAGCCATTCTTTTTTTTTGTCTAAATTCATATATCGATGGTCTGTACGTTCAAAATCTTTCTTGTCTGTTCAGTTCAGATCTTAATTGGTCCACCTCGATTTTGGCGCCATTCATCACAGGATTTAGCAAATAACGATATATCAGCTCCTGTGGTGAGTGATGAAGGAGAATGTGGTGCCCTCACCATCGAACGCTCTATAATATTTGTGCGGACGTGGACACAATCATGTGAGATTTTATCAATAGTACCAGTCATCTGGTACTATTTCTTTCATCCATGCCAGTGAATATGAATACATTTGTTACAATATAAAGGGCGACGGACAACATTCAAAGACAATCTTCGGAAGTTTTACTGGCCTTAAGCTCATGGACAATAGATATGAATTCCTATCCTGCCGGCAGTGCGCGCTTGTAAGCACATGGATGATTGAAACAGCCATGTCGGAGATAACAAATGGAGCATCAAGTTTGGCCTCAAAGATTTCCTTTCATCTTACAAGGCTCTTATAGCTTTAAAAGGCGCATCCATTCACTAATCGTTCCCCAAGTTATAGAAGCTATATGAAGAATACGGAATTTCCTGTCATTGCCTAATCGAGCAGGCGTCTCCATAAATCACACTTTTTTTCATAGCTAACGAGTACTTATTATCTAGCAATGCAAAATTTTTTTTCTATTACAGATAATCAAAGGATATATCAAGGGAAAGGACCAGTTGAGGTCGAAGAAATTTAATAATTTCACGAATTATTCGATTTTTGATTTGCCTGAAATGGATAAAATGTAATGGATTTATTTTTTTTTTCGCTATTTTATTGGCTTTTATCTGGTTGAATATTGAAATTTTCAATTTTTTAGCGTATTCACCATAGTTTGTTGAAAAGATTTATATCATTTATTTAGAGTTTCTTCAGGAATCTTCGAATTGATTTGAAACGATATTTAAAAGAAGCTGTGCAAATTTCAAGTATTTCATTTGGCGCTGCAATTGATGTAGGTGTTTTTAATTGATTCATTTATCTCTTTTACAATCATCTTTTTATGACAATCACTTTTTAATTTATACCAGTATAAATTTGTTGCAATTTCAGTTGTTGCATAATTTCCTAGCTGATGGTAGTAGTATAACTCTTCATCCTGATTTTCCCAAAAAACCTCCAAGTAGTTTCGTTTTATTTTGTAAAAAACGAGGCGATGTAAAACATGGGATCTGGCACTTTAAAGTTAGTTTCGTTTTCAATATTATTTTTTTAGAAATAGTTTTTTTTAATTTTCTATTAGTGGTATATTATTAAGGCTTTTTTAAGGCTTATTTTTTTACTTCTATAGTGATTGGGGATAAAATGGCTCAGTGGGTTATTGCTCGATTGTGAACGCCGATGCTGAGGTTCGGTTCTCTGCAGGAGTAAAACCTGTACAAAAATCCAGGTGATGCTGGCACTCACCTGCATTTCTATCGCCAAGGGGCCCCCTGGCATATTGCTCAATGTGACAAGCTAGTGGAGCGAGTTTAGCCAGTAATGGTGAGGACTCTTAAAAAAACTAGTGATTAACTTTAGGTTAAAAATTGCACAGTAAATATTGCTTTATGCATGCTTGTTTTGAAAAGATCTAGTTAGTGATTTTATCTTCATTTTGATATTAAATTTTCATTTATTGATTCTAGGTGAAAATTATAAGTGCTTAAGATGAACGAATAGTTTGTAGGATTTATCGGCAATGTGGAAAAATGATGATTATAAAGAAGAAAAATTAGCTTGTGAAAAGGAATCGTTGGATTTACAAAGAAATTATATGGAGAATCTTGAAAAATTCAAGTGAACTTTAATTTTTACTTTTATTAATATCATAAGAGTCTACTATAATGTTCTGCATGCAAAATTTTGGCGGAAACACAATGGCAAATAGTTTTAAGATAATTGAAAGCAAAATTTTGGCTGTGCTAATTTGAGCTTATAGTTGCTAAAATAGAGTTTAAAAGACTGAAAAAGAGCCATAAAAAGAGGGCACAGTGTGGCTTGATGGGATGCTAAGAGGATATATTGGGATTAAGGTGATGTTAAATGACTATAGGATATTTTTATAAAGATTTTGAGATATATTGTTAAAAAAAGTTTTTGGTTGTGATTTCGGAACATGCTAGTTGAGAAGGTATGAAAATGCATTTACACTAACGATTATAGATTATGTTATAGATTATATTTTTAATTTATATTAATGGAAAACAGTTGTCATTTTAGAGCAGTGGTTATATAATTTAAGTGGTAAGTTTATCATATTTATATATTTATTACTTTAGAGCGAACAATAAAAATTTAACCGATTCTCATAATTTATTTATCGACAAAACAATTCAATCTTGTCAACGGATGGTATGTTTTAATTAATGTATATTGATAAATTTTCATTAATTTCGATATGACGTTTCTACTGCAATTTTACTTTCTTTTAGATCAATAAAAAGGAGCCAAGAAAACATACAAAAAATTCTGTAAAACCTAAGTCGCAAAGTGGGTTCATGAAAACGCAAAAAACGGCCTTTGAACTTTTCTTCATGGCAAATTCGAAAAAGTTTTTTCTTATTCATTTTAATTTTTGCAAGCCTAACATCCACCACTTTATTTTTTTTTCTCATATGAATATTATTATTGATATTTTTCATTTTTCTGTTTCGTTTTCACAAATCAGTTTTAGAGGAATTTGGATTTTCAGGTATTGTGACTTAGAACCTGAAAAGCGCAACAAAAAGTTGCTGAAAAAATTCAATAAGCTGAGCGATGATCAACGAGCCATTTATCAGAGCCTCGCATCTGCTTTGTAATTTCTAGAATTCATTCTTTTCGATTATGTATGATGGATTATTCTTTATTTTTATCTTTGTTTTCTTTAGTATTCTTATGTTTTTATATTTTATTTTATTATTTTTTTAATTCTTAATAATTCATATTATCAAAGATTGTTACTATAAATTTCTATAAGATTAAGCTTCTTAACTGATGTCTTTAAACATACTTAAATTAATGAATGCATTCATTTTTTTAAATTTTTAAAATTCTCTTAATTTTTACGTCTCTTTTCTTCCTTTCTGATTTTTTTCTTTATTAAGCAAATCTAAGAGTTTCTTTGCCTATCAACACGATAATCTAAGTCATCATCCAATTTTTTATCGTTCTACTCAGAGACTCCCGATGTTTTATGATTTATTTGGCTATTTTATTTCGTTTGGATATGTTTGAATTTATAAATGGATATAATCCAAGAAAAATCATTGTTTTTGAATTTCGTTATCTTCAAATTTTCTCTGAATGAAGGGATATATTCATAAATATATAATAAGAATTTAAATATAATCGTTGACCCAATAGAGTGTGCTAGCTGCGTGAAATTTGGCATTTAGATGGAGAAGAAACAACGTGAATTCATTCCTTAGACCCATTGATATTGGTTAATCTGTCATTAAAATCGAAGTCGGATTCCCCACTTGTACTTATGTTTGCAAGTGGATTTTTAGTAGAAGGAGGCAATTAGTGAATGGAGCTAACTAGGGCAGGAATGGTATCTTCTGCTAGAAAAGTAGGTCTGAATAAAAACACGAGATGCGCTTATAATAGAATATCTCACATTGCTCACATATCCAGATATAGTTTCTTTTGTTATACCTCTTTCAAAGATAGGGCCTTGCACCATTGCCTATTGATCGGAATACAGTGATATCGTATAAGAACGCAATATGAGCTTTTTAGACCATAAGTTCGCTGTACAGCTCGAAATAGCGCACATTTCTTGTCGATTAATGTAACGGATCAAAAATGAAAAAGGCCAGTCAAGACGTGGTCGGGTACACAGAATAGAAATTGAATTTAAAATGGGGGATTCAGCTATATATTGCTTTCAACTACTTTCATCGGGAGGTATGAAAACATCTCATCTCAGCCGCTCATAAATCTAATCAAATCAGCCATGGAGCAAGTCAGAGGATGGGATGGTGTTTTGAAGACGGAGAGGATTATAGGATTTGGAGGAGAAATAACGACATCTAATGGAGGAATTTTGGAGAATGGAGAGAGAAAAGAAAAGTTGGGAAGAATTTTGGAAAAATGTTTTGGACAGGCGAGCCTTCTTCCAAACATGCCTAAAGTAATGCGGTTTTTTGATTTAAATGATTTTTTAATCTTTAATTAATTCGAAATTATTGTGTTAAGAATTAAATTGTGGTAATTTTTATTGTTTAGTTAATGAAATTCAGTCGATCAGTGTTGTAAGGAAAAGAAAGGAAAGCATGTTCATTAAAACAGCTTAAAATAAGTTCCGTAACTTTAAGCATGTGATTGCTGAAATTTATAAGTAAATTGTCCAGTTACTACGTGGTTTAACAATTTCCAAGCATTTTTTCCTAGCAATTTCTCTTCGTTTTTGTATCTTTACATGGTGTTGGCTATATTGGCAATGGCCTACTGATAAAATCATTTCTTGAAATAATTATTTTTACCTAGTTGTTTCCTAAAATCTGACTGGAAATGTGTCGAAATTGCACAATCCTCCACATTTTATTGCGGTATTACTTTATTTAAAGAAATTTTTTCTAAATTGCGATTAAAGCGAAAAGTTTCTTTGCATTTCTTCATTTTCACAATTCCCTTCGCAGTATATTTTAATATATGTCATACATATTTAAATATTTATTGTTACATGAAGTACAATTTTTTTGTCTGACCGATTTTATAATAGCCTGTCTTCTCCTCCTAAAGCTTTCACCATTAATGGTTAGGCTGACTTCGCTGGCTACAAGGGCAGGACGTTTCCAAGCGGCGCGGTCTGATGCCATCGTCGACAGAAGCCATTCTCTTTTCCATTGTCTAAGTTCATATATCACTGGTCCATCTATATGTTAAAAATCTTTCCTAATTGTGTTAAGCCAGGTCTTGATTGGTCCACCACGTTTTTGACCTCACCCATTACAGCGTTTTGCAGATAATGAAATATGCGTCAACTGTTGTGTTGGGCGACGAAGAATGCGCCCTAATCAGCAAAGTGAAGGCGTTGTGAAGTGGTATGTGGAACGAAGATGGGTGCAGTTATGTGAAATTTTATCCATTTGACGAATCCGTAAAATGTACCTTAGACAAGAGTGGTCGAAATTAGATAACTTCTTAATATTCTCCACTCTTATCGGCCATGCCTGGCAGCCATTTAGCAAGATCGAGCGAATGGTGACTAGACCAGGACTTTCGTTTTTATGGTGATTTCACGACCGCTCCATAGATGTTTCACCAACAGGAACAAATTTCTAGGCTTGTAATTTCATCCTGGCCATTAGGTAGTGTGGATCCAAGGTATTTTGAAATCGAGCACTTCCTTAACCGCCAATAAATTTATAATAATAGGTCACCATTATTCTCCAATCTTAGAAAGGAATGCATTTCGACACATTTTATTTTGAAGTAAAATCTGCCGTGATTTTGCGCTGTTAAGCTATTAATTTTTTATTGAAACGATTACATGTCGATATACCCTGTTAATTTGTCATAAGTGTTGTTAAAAGCGTTGCGTATGGTTGCATACTTTATATATTTTAGGTTTTAAGTTTGGGTTCGGTTAGGTTTGTGGGCTGCTGGCTTTTTTATACGAAGTTGATAGGAGATTTTGTTAAGGAATTTCCATTAGTAAATGAAAGGTTTGACTATCATTCGCCAATTTTAGTTAAATAAAGTGTAAATATAGTTTGCGGCAGATTGCCAATAAGATAGAAGCTGGCGTGGGTCGTGGGTTGTGCTCGAATCTCTTGGTGTTGCACCAAGTTTCTGTCTTCTGGCAAAGCTGGCTTGTCGCACTGGACAAATATGCCACAGTCCTTTGGCGATAGGAATACAGGTAAGTTGCAAGTATCACCCGGATATTTGGACAGGTTTACTCCTGCGGAACCTCGGAATCGGCGCTCTGAATTGAACAACAATCCACTGAGATTTATCCCGTATATATTGGAGTATATATTAGATTTTAACAAGGGCCACTTGAGGATGGAAGTGTAGGCTGGCAATTTTGATTTCATTTGCTCTTCATGGTCTCATGGCAGAAATTTCTCGTTGTACGTGTAAAATAAGCGCGAATAGGCGCGCTTATTGTCAATGAAAAGAAAGAAGTATCGATACCTTTTGATGAGTTAAAATGGTAAAATTGTTAATGATATTCATATTATTCGAGTGCTTCTTTATTTATTAAATTAGAAATTTTAGTGAAATTTTTGTGAAAAAAGCATGGCACCACGAAAGCGGTCAACATCGAGAACAAGTTCAAGTTCGGCATCGAGTCGTGCGTAAGTATTCTATAAGTATTTCTTCTTATTCATATTTTTTTCTTCTTTTTCTACATTTCCTGCTCAAGGAAAGATAATGTTTTGTGAATTGTAAACTTATTTAATTAAATTTTCTCTTGAATAGCCTGAAGCATCGTCGTTTGTCCTGCGATTCCATTTGTTATCCAGCAAATATTGTTTTTTTTATTATTTGTTGAAATCTGTCTATTATAACGTCAGTCAGATTTAAATCAGATTTAAATTTTTGACAAAATTTTAATGAGTTGAATTTAATTTTTGCAACAAATTTTGAAAGAAGTATCTAAACCACAGATCTCGAAGGTCGCGATCACGAAGTCGCAGTCGTTCCAAAAGTCGTAGTCGCAGCAGAACATATTCACCAGATCGCGGAATGGAAGAAGGACGGCTTCACGTCGCTAATATCGATGAAAGTATTCGACCCAGAGATCTTGAAGAGGCATTTGGGTCAATTAATTCTTTACTTTTTTGAATTTTTGTTGACTTTTTATATTTTATCACTTTCTTTCTCGTTAGGTTGGCAGTTTCTTATCTAGAGTTTTTGAGCTTTCGACAGTTGCTGGGATTTATTGTGGGCCATAATATCCCATTTTTTTTACATCGATTTTGCCATGGATTTTCCACTATTCCCATTATTTTTTTGGCTTATTACATAGTTTTTTAATTATTTAACTTTATAAGATTGTTTTTTTAGGCGTTACGGAAAACTGAACGAGGTTTGGGTGGCAAGTTATCCGCCGCTTTTCGCTTTCGTCGTTTTTAAATCAAAAACGGATGCAAATGAAGCTTTAAACGCACTGAACAATACGTAAATTTTATTTTTTGGGGTTTTTCTATTTCTAATATCCCTCCTCACCATTACTAATTAGCTGGTTACAAGGGTAAATTTCCAAACTGTTCCATCCAGTACCATCGTTGATAGAAAAGCCATTCCTTTTTCCATCGTATAAATCTGTATATCGTTGGTGTACCTATACGTTCATTATCTTGATTAGCTCTTGCGCAATGAACGGTTTAGCTATATCCGGAATGATTTGTAGTTGAATTTTCTTGGTTAAATTTGGGCCTCAGAGAATTTCAGTCTACAAGGTAATAGCATTAATAGGCACCATTGTTATACCTTATTTCACTTGAGTTATAGTTGCTTTGTAATGAAGGCTAAGTAATATTAATATTATCGCTTAATCGAGCTGCCATTTTCAAGGCAATATCGCTCCAGTGGCGACTTCTGCCGCGCCGTGCTGCTGATGTAGTAATTTTTCGAAATTTCCGATAGTTAGTATTCTCCTGATATTCTCCTGATGGGTCGCTTTTTCGAGCAGTTGAACCCTTGCCTCCGATATTCAATATAGCACACTTCTTACGAGCAAGTACGAAATGGTTGCCTTTCGGAGACATGTTTTTAATTGGGATTAATATTTATTTGCCGTTCCAGTGAGACGCTTCAATAATTCGATAGTCATTTCCATACTAGGATATGTTCTTAAGAAATGCGCTTATGTGTTTACAAATTTGAGAGATCTTGGGAGACGTCGTTTCTTGCGAGTTGTTTCAGTTTTATATGGTTCGAACCATAACACGATTTGATCGGAAGTTTATCACTTTCAGCACCTTGATCCTAACGACTTTCTAGAAGTGAATAGGAAACTGTGACGAGTGGCCAAGATATAATCAACGTAGGTCAGGTATTGCTTGTCCAGATGGCTCCAAGTAACTATATGTCTTTTATATCGGTAGCGTACATGCGTAACAAAAAATTCACTTTCTCGGAAAAGCGAAGGAGGCATTCTTCACTGGTGCACCATACTCCGTTGCCATATATGCCAATTACTGAGTTCATCGTGGCGGCATCGTAACCTATTCCAGTCTCTCCCGATTACGACCATGTGATCTTTTGGTCGAGATATTGTTTGCATAAAATTTATCCTTATCACGCTCATTTGCCAAAAGTCAGCATACACTGATGACCGAAATATTTCGGACTTTGAAGCAACCTTAGGCCATATAGTCATTGTTTTACCGGTTTCTGCTCAGTCCGAACGGATCGAGAGTTTGTATTGAGAACACATTGATCTTATTCTCAAGCCTTGGGATCGTTTCACTGCTCTCGTATTGCATATCACATTTACAGCCGAGCTGGCAGTATCATCCTCTTTATGACCAAACCCTTTCAATAGATTCATTTGGGAATGTAGTTGCGAGTGAGTCCTCAACAGTCACTTGGATTTTTGAAACCATGACAGATTTAATTTTTTTAAAATTGAGAAAGAAAAAAATAAAATGGAAAATAAAAAATAAACAAAAGAAACAAAACTTATGAATTTTTGAAGAAATTAGAGTAAATATTTATTTATACTTTTTATTTTTATGCTTTATACTTTTGTACTTTTTAGTTTTGTTGTTGTTTCCATTTTGTTTAAATTTTTTATTTATGTATTGAATCTTTATTTTTAATTAAGAAATTCGTTTTAGACGTTGGATAGTTTTTTGGTAGGAATAGTAATTAGTTATTGAAATGAATAGCATGAATCAAGGTGCAATTTGGAGAAATTCATTTAAATTTAAATGATGTTGTGGAAACTGTTTTTAGTTGAATTGAATTGAATCTTGAAAACGCATTTGCTTGTATTTGTGGATATTTGATTCGAAAGTGAATTATTAAGGATATGCAACTTATAAATTAAATTTTGCATATTGTTTTTGGTGATCCTTGTCAATCGTTTTGTTTTTACTCAAATCGTTTAGATACATTCGGAATTGCCGAGTACGTGTTTCGGTGGCTCTACCTAGGGTCCGCACGCGGGATCGTTTCTCATATCGCTATGGTGGTTATGGTGGTTATTATGGAGGCGGATACGGCAGGTAATTTTTTTAACTTGTGTGTTAAATGTGTTTTTTTCTTTGTAAACTGTGTGATTTCTTTTCTTTTAAACTTATATGTTTTTCTAAGAGTTTTCTAAGAGTTTTATATTGTAAAAGTGCTATTTTTTATTAATGTACCTAATTTTTCAGCGTTTATAGTTCAAATTATTTCAGATATGGTGGTTATGGAGCTCGTTACGGCGGTGATTATGGTAGATACGGAGGTTATCGAGATAGAAGGTATTATTACCAATTGCAAAAAAATTGCTTTAGGTGTTTCAATTGCTTTAGATGTCAACATGGTACTTCATCCTTTTTTCTTTTTCCCAATTTTATTTAGGAATCTTAACTGCGTATTTATTTAGTTTCTAATTTATGTTATCCAAGATTAAAGCAAATTTTATCAACTATTATTGTGGGTTAATCAGTGATCGGGCGCAAAGATGTTCAAAAGTAACAAAATCTGATATAGGCCTGGATGGTTATTGATAGCTGTTGGTTGAATGGAAGGTGGATTTGGTAAATGTTGTTGGCGATTCCGTCATCATGGAATATAATTGGCTGGCCATGGTGTGGAATGTCCAGTGATGGATCCTTTTCTTTGGTGGATGGTTATACAACAAGCAAATATGCTACTTTTTAGGTAGCTTGAGCATAGAGCAAGGTTTCTTGAAGTGAAGGCCTAAGTTATATTTTTTCCCTCAGATAATGGAAACAAAATTTCATAAAAGGAACGGTAATTTTTGATAATTTTTCATTCTTTAATTCTTTAATTGACTGATGGTTATACCGTCTTTTAAGTGAAATTTGTGCCGTTCCTTCTATGAATCCATTTGATTTTATCGAATGAACGTGATTCACACCATCCATCTTATTAGCGTCTTGGGAACGATAATATTTCTATATTCAATGGATCTGCGTGCTCTGCGTGTAAAACAGTTGGTAACGAAAATAATAATAAATGGTTGAAAATGGTTAACAATCTTCTGTGAAGCAAATGAGCTAATTGCATTTCTGAATTCTATTTGAAGTGGAAATTTTTTTGATTCACGAGGTTTTCGTCAGATGAGGACGATGAGTTTTTTTCTTTACTTTTTCGGATCTACTCTTTTTTATTGGTTTAATCATTCTTAAAAAAGAGATATTTCAGACCAAGAAGCCCACCACGTCGACACAGCCGAAGGTTTGCTAATTGCAGCTTAAAAAAAATCTTTATTAATCCTGTTTTGTTTTTTGAATGTTTATAATTAAATTTGGAAAACAGCTCAATATAAAAAAATAAATTTGAAAAATGTATTTACACAGAAAATGGTTCGATCAGCTCTAAACAGTTATTTTTGGACCAGTTTTTATTACAACTGACAAGTTTTTAGAAGTCGTTCCCGAACACGTTCTTCATCTTCAAGAAGTCGCTAAGAATGGACTGGATATTACATTTGGGCGTTTTTTGAGTTCGTGAATTTCTCGTAAAATGGATTTGACTTTTCGAGATTTATTAACGTCTCTAAATTAACTAATTTCTCTTTTATTTTTTCTTTTAACGTTTGTTACACATTTGTATTTTCATAAAATTCTTATTGTATAAATTTAAAATTTGGTTGAACCTATTTTAAACAGTGAATGTTTCGCTTAGCCATTCTCACTAATATTCTCATTTCATATTGATATATCAAAGTAATGTATTTCTTCGCCTTTGGTCTGTTTGTTTTGTTGTGTTATGGAGTTCTCTTTTAAATTTCCTGTTATTATAGAATGGAATGATACGCTATTTGGTAGTATGCCTTTAATTATTTGCGGATAATTTTAACCAAACAGTTCTTGCTTCTCGCGCACTTTTCTTTTTGCTGTTCTTTATGGAATTCTTTCATTAGAAATTTTGAATTAAATGCGTAGAATTAATTCGATATTCTTTACATTCATAACATTTATTTTAATTGAAATGAAATATTGGATTGGTTTTTGCGATTTTTTTCATTGATAAAATATCGTTTTAACATACCTGTTAAATGCATTTTTAATAGGGTAATGCGAAACGTTTAGAAAATATCTTATGGGCTTAAAATTATGGCGATGTGAGTTAGATCAATCGTTGAATTATTTTGGCTATGGTAGTAAGAATTTTTTTAAATTTGTGAAGAAAGCGACATTCTGGTTGTTTAATTGATTTGATTTTAGCACGAACCTGTAATGTTAATGGGTTTTAATAATGAGATGAGCAAGCATTGCAATGCTCCGTATGAGATATTAGTTGCTGAGAATTTTCTGCGAACGCTGACATCAAAACGAGACACAAAGAGTGATCATTGGTTGATTTATCCGAATTTGAGGCATTTGGTGAATAACGAGGAAAGAGGAATTAGCGGGAATCTTAAACGGAATGAATCGAGCATCGAAGAGGATGATGAAAGTTAGTATGCGAATGTACTGGGATTAAGGCATTTCTAAACTGTAGCAATTTATAAAAAGTTCAACAATTTCATTCTATAATTTTGAGTAATATACAATACAACAATGGGGCAGCAAAATGTTAAAAAATCTCATTGATGCTGGGAATCATGCCAAGGGAATTTCTGGTAAGAGTGCTTTTTCCTAGTAGCCACTGGAGCGAGTCTAACCAAGGTAGGAAGTGCAGGCTAATAGATTTGGCTATAAATAGATTTTAATAGATTAGATTATTTTAAATAGATTTTCATCGAATGCGTATTTCTAACGGTAATCAGTACAAGGCATAATGGATCTTTCCACTGCATTTTAAAAACAACGAAAGTTGAGAAAATGAATTGAATACCATTAAATGGATTCAAGAAAATGGATTGGCATTAGTTAATTTAAGACAACTACATCAGTTAAATTTTGGGAAATTCTGATGACGATAATGAAAGGTACTTTTCTCGTCATTTAATTATTCTCTCGGATTTATTATTGCACTAAGAGATTAAAAATAAAGAATTCGCATAGAAAGTTCATTCATTCCTTTTTATCAAATGTTTCGAAACTTTGATTTGAAAATAGATTTTCTCTACGTAAAAGATTTTTTTCCAAAAGCTAATTTTATTTTTTGTGACAGTTAAATATTAAAATTTTTAGACATATTGGTTTATATATCCAATACATCTGTAGTGTACGTTATTTGTAGTTAGCTGTGCTCCATTGGCTATTAGTGCGGTGAAAAATTTTTGCGAGGTATCATTCGGCGATAAAAGTAGGTATGGACTTCTAGCACCGCTCGGACTTCTTAAAATTGATCGAAGACGCCAGACGTAAAGTTGGAAATTCGGCCATACTCCATCCTAATGTTTATATTTAAAATCGAATAGATTTAATGAAATTATCTTTAATAATTTTTAATTCTATTTTTGTCAATCTAAGATACGAAAAATTGAACAATTAATAAAAAAATTCTTTTTTCTTATGTGTTTTGTAATTTTTCAAGTTCTTTATTTTTTATTCATTTAATTTTGGTTCATTTTTTTATTCACTAATCATTTTAGTTGTCGGAAAAATAGCAAACAAATTGCCATATGTAAGTTTTGTGATTTATTTGTTCGTTAAAAATTGATGAAAATAAGCGGAACCATAAACTAATAAACTCTTTAATTTGATTCATAATTTGACCAATGTTTCTTCCATAATTAAGGTCATTCTTATAATTTACCAAGCATGTGATATATAGAGTATTTGATTTTGGACAGTTCCTGATATTATCACCCTTTGCATTGCAAAAAAATTTACTTTTTCAATAGATTTTTTAAATCTTCTCCTTAAAATTTTAAAGGTTTTTAGTTTTTTAATTTGATAATATTCGTTTTTAAGGACGGAAACAAATAAACAATATCATTATATCTCCGTTTTAGAAAAGCTGTCCTATAACTTTCGAAACCATTGATCCATCAGGAATACGCCCAAGATCTTCGACATTTATGGGCTTAGCTAAAAAGCCAGTGTTTGACCTAGTTTCTCGTCGGCATTTGCAAATAGCAAATGTATCTGAAAGGTTTTCTTTTTTTATTGAAATTAATCAACGGTGTTTTTTTCCATTTTCAAAAATATTTTTATTAAATTTCCAGTTCGCCATTAAAAGGCAATAACAACATTCAAATTGAAGGTGAAGAAGATTCTGCGTATACATCCATCGACAATGGTTAAAAAAATTTTTTTTCATTAGATTTTTCAAGTTATATTTTTTAAAAAATTGTGTATTGTAAAGTAGATATGAGGATTATCGCTAACTTCTCATAAATTTTAAAGGTGATTTAAAAGATCTCCTTTTACACTGCAAAAGAAATTACTTGTTCGATGAATTTTTTAAATCTTCTCAAAGTTTTGAAGGTTTTTAGTATTTTAATTTAATAATATTCCTTTTAAGGATGGAAACAAGTAAACAGCATTATTATTATTCGTGCTAAAAATAGGGAATTTTTTTAGACGAAAAGCGACAAAATTCATTTCTTTCTAAAGATCGGTGTATATTCTTAAAGCAAATAAAGGATATCGGCAAAAATGGGCGGTTAGTAGTTTTTAGGTTCGACGACATTGAAACCATCTGAAAATGTCTTATAAACCATTTTTTTCGTAAAAAATTTGCTTATTAGAATTATTTTTATTTTTCCGTTGTTTTATATGCTTTAATATTTTTCAAAATATGGTTATTTTGTAATTTTCGTCAAAGTAAAACGTAATAACTTAAAAAAATAATTTCTTTTTTTCCAGTTATCTTTGCCAAAAATACTTTGATAACGTTATTTGATGAATATTGAAGTTCATTTTATTGTAGATTTTTTTTGATAACTTATAATTCGTCAGTTCCAGTGTTATCATTCTTCCATAAACCATTTGAACTGAAATCGTAAGTTTACATTCATCTTTGATCATATTAAATGTTGTTTTCGAGGCAAACATCAATTAATATTGCATTGCAATATTAAACAAGTTTTCGAAAGGTGTTTTTTTCTTTAATTTTTCTTAGCATAAATTTTCTTGTGAAATATTTTTTTTTTTCCTTTTTCAGCACAGTGCGTCGAGAAATTGCTATATCTAATGTTAATATTAAACCAATAGATTTCAGAGAAAATCAAGTAAAATCTTTTCCAATTTTTTTTCTTTTAACCCTGAAATAATGAAAATATTTAATATCGAATAAAAATTCTTCTGGAGAAATCTTCAAAGGAGTAAAAAAGTCACTTTTAGAAATTAGTTTTAATGATTTATCACAATTTTGTCTAATTCGTTATAATTTAAGATTTTTATGCATTCACGTTTAATGTTATTTAATATTATTAAAAAAGTTAAGGAAATCAGTTTTCACAATTTGCTTCGTCAAAATTGTGGTGATCATCATTTGTCAATAATTTCTTCTTCAACATTTGCAAAAAAGCACGAAATTTCTGGTGGAAAGGATCAACATGTAAGTTATATTGGAGTATACAATCATTTATAGGGTCATTTGAAAAGTTCGGTCATTTTTTTTATTGTTTAGTTTTGAGGCCGCACATTTTTGTTGCCATGCTGCATTGGCTGGCATATATCGCTCTGCTCGCATAAATTTTCATTTATTCTCATTTCAATGGAAATAATAGGTGATTTTAAATTTTTTTTTGGAGAATAATTTGGGTAATCAAATTTGAATGTAACGATGTAATTTTTATGGTTTATGATTTTGAACTGGTGCAGTGCGATAGGGACTACTGGCAATAAGTAAATAGCTTTTGATAATGAGCATCAAAAAAATAGTATAAGGTTGGTTCTTTCGTCAAATCTGACGATATATCAAAGGTGCCTCATTTGCGGACAAGCCTTAAATTCTATAAATGAGTCCATGAAGGGAAGAGAAAAAAGTCTCATTCTAGAAATACGGAAATTTAGCGCAATAGTTCGGAGTTTCATTCAGTACTTTGTTGAATCGCTTGACTCAAAAAGAAGGTAAGAATAAATCGGGCACAATGGTTGAATAAAAGTGAATGATCTCGATTTATATTGAAATCCAACTTTCATTCGAAGAAAGCACTATATTTTAAAACTTGCGTCTTAAAACTGCATTGTTTAAAGAAGAGTTATGCAGTAGGCAATCGGAAATAGACCATCAGAAATACAAATACTACAAATAGAGAATCCAACGCTGTTCTAGAAAAATCTCATCAAAAATCATTGCATGGCAACAGTAAAAATGTTGCATTAACAACTCTACAACTCCATATTCCTCTTATTCCTCAGAATTTCAATTCTTCCCCTGTATCGGCAATTTCTTTAAAGAGAAATATTTTCGAGAATAGAAAGATCTTAGGAACATCATTCATTTACTCCAAAAGCTAGGACTTTTACGCAAATGAAATTCTCTCGTATAATGTAATAAAATTTGCAATTCAATAGTGAACTGTGCTTTAAAATTTAGTGTTCCAAAAAGTCATCCATCTTTCGGAATTTCTTGAATGAATAATTTCTAAATAGACCTGGGACTATGGAGTTTAATTTAAGATTATATTAATGCATTAATGAAATTTGAAAAAGAAAACGAAATTTTCCACAAAATTTGTGGTTTTTGCTCTTCAGCACTTATATGTATACATTCATTTTCTTTAAATCATCGATAATATAAAAATAATTCCTTTTTTTATTATGGGATTTTCACAGAAAATTACAAATATTTTTTTAGCAAATATGGCTGTTTTTTTCTTTTTTATTTTCTTGAAATTTCGAAATTAAATTGGAAATATTGAAAATGTTTCAATAAGGAACGCAAAATTTCGAAAAAGATTTTAATCTTATAAAAAAATTGGGAACTTTAAGTCAGTTTTTTGAATTGCCTTTTCGACCATTTCCAGCAAAAGCAAAATATTTTTTTAAAGAGACGGCGAACTATATCAAGTGATAACTGTCAAATAATCAAGGAAAATGATAGTGTTACAGGTATTTTTTCTTTTCAAGAAATTAGTTTCAGTTCATTTCAATTATTTAAATTTTTTTCATTTTTTCTTCTAAAAATCGTTCAGTTATTTATTTTATGAATTTTGAAACCAATTCTTTTCCCTTATTATTCCATCTTAGATAAATATTGGCCAGGATCGTCCGCATCACTGAATTCTGAATTGGATCAAAAAAATATGCTTAATATGTTTTCTGATTCTTTGGTACCGAACGAGCTGAATCGTTTCGAATATGATCCAAATCTAATTGCTGATTTTGAATATGATAAAAATTTTCGAAGAACAACTTTAAAATTTAATTGCTACGTTGTAAGTAAATTCTTATATAAATTCTAAATTCTTATATAAATTTTTTGTGAACGCTATCCATTTATTCTCAAATTTATTTTTATCGATAGACGTCGATACTACATTTCGGTGCCACAGATGACATGAAAAAGCTTCTAAATGAAAATTTTGTTGAGCAGTATCCATTTGTGCAAATAACCTATAGCAAAATCAAGAGGTACAGTTTAATTATTATAATGCATTTAATTTTCATATTCATTTATTTATCAGTTTTATCAATTTTTTGCAGCATTGAATATGAATTGTTAAAGTTGGCACATTTTTGTGACTTTGATGATATTGTTGTCGCATATGCATACGTTTTCTTTGAAAAACTTATCTTCAAGGTATTTAAGTTTTTCGTAAAATATTTCACTGAGAAGTCGATGAATTACTTATTATATCACTCACCTTTCCTTTGGATATATTCACTGGGTTTTCTTTTTCTTTAGAGGATTTTATATTATATTATATTAGACATCATTTTTATATCTAAAGGTGGTCGAATAATGCTTTGGGTTTTCTGCAGTTAACCATCATGGTTCAATTCTTATCTTTTTCGGATCCTTCTTGACTTTTATTTCAAAGTGATTTTCTACCTAGAAGTAGCATTCTTATTATTCAGTTAAAACAGCTATGCAAGAGATGGCGATCTTCACTGAAAAAGGGAATTTTCCACTGAAAAATTGGATCAGACCTTTAAGCATATTTAGAGATTTGTAGTATTTTTCCGCATAGTTTTATATTTGGCTGTGATTTTTAAATCTTGCATAACACTTTTTTTTCCAAAGTTTTTCTCAAAAAATGAATAATCATTTTAATTTGCAGTTAGCACATTTAAATGCTACACTACATTTTTTAATGATTATTAATGTCTTTCTCTAAATTAATCTCCAAATTTTCAGGGTATAATAAAAAAACCGAACAGAAAATTGATAGCCGGCGCTGCACTTTTGATCGCTGCGAAAATTACTGACTTTGGAACAGTTCGAGTTTCTAAAGTTGTCGAGGTTGGTTGATTAGAATTCTGATTTGGTTTTGATCGATCAATTATGTCGGTAAAACGGCATGTAAGATTCTTAAGATTCTTTAAGAAGGGATAAAATATGTAACTAACTACCAACCAATCTTTCAAGAAAATGACTGAAATTTTCTTATTTCTCATTTCTCCTCCGAATGAATTTTCTTCCTTCAGTTGCTGGGAACATCGTTGAGAATTAATCGAAAAGAATTGTTACGCCTTGAAATTCCAGTTTGCGCCACTCTTGATTTTAGCTTGAATGTTGCATCTTCCGAGTTATTGCCACATTATCAACGGATTTTACTTACAAAGCTTTAGTATTTATTTATTAACTTTATTAACTAATTTTTTTTATTAATTGGAAAGTACGAAATGTTTAGAAAATAAATTTGTCTCCATAATATAGCATAATTTCATTAATTTTGCGTTATTTTCGTTAAAAAGATTTCAAAGATTTCGTGGAAAATTCACTGAGAAAATTACAAGGAATACTTCGATAAGGTCAAGATATCTTTTAGAAACCATGTTCTTATGCGAAGTGTTTTCTTTATATAAAAATTGCAAGATTTGGTTAGTTTTTTTACTTTTTTTGTAAGATTTTTATTATTTATGTTCAGTCTACTAATTATCACGGGTTTTATTGTATATGATGAATCAGTGAAGAAATAAAATTGTTCTAATTTTCAAATAATTTTTGCTTATATTGCTCAGATTTTTTTCGCTTTTTCATGATTCTTAACCGAAAATTATTCTGTTCTCTTGTATTTTAATGCGTATGAAATTAATGCATTTATCCGAATTTTTATTATGGATGGTTTTGCATTTTTGTGGTTCTTTGATAGAAAAATATGAAAGTTTTTCCAGTTTTATTTTGCACATTTAGATGCTTGTCAATATTTTTTTAAATAAATACAATTTTCACTAGTAATTTTTTATCGAATGAGATAGGTTTTCTTCTTCATCGCTTTTTTTTATTTATCAGCGATCAACACCATCAGTAACTATTGAATTATCTTGATTTCCTGCCTGAATTTATATCGTTTATTTACATTTGAAATTAAATGAAGGAGGAGGAGTGAAAAGAAAAGCGAATTTTGCTGAATTTCACATATATTTTTCTAAAATGTTGCTGTCCAGTTGTTGTTCCACATGATTCATTTCGCTATAGAGGTAAGGAATGAAACCACAAATGAGTTTTTAGAAGCATACAGATTTGGGTGTGAAGAGTTAAAATGCAGAAACTGAACCCTTTTTAGTCGAAGCAACTTTGATATTAAAATTTACGTCTGAAAATTTTTGGCGAATGGATAATTAGAATGAATGGAATGAACCAAGTGGATCGCAGATGTTCGGGTGATTTAAGAAAATTTGAGAATTTTTTACCTCTGCAGTTTGCTTCTTCCAGTGTTCTTTCGCACTTAGATATTTCCTACAACGTAGTACCAAATAAATAGCAAAGCCTTGAGCAATTGTAAAACATAACTGAAAAATTATGTCAGGCGGCATTCTTGACATTGTGTATAAATGATTATTACGAGATTTTTTAGCCACGTGATCATTTGGAAACAAAAGCAGCGGTGTAAAGGTCAACATCACCCTGGGTCTTTGAATGATAGAGCGAATAGAGCGATACTTGCATTAAGAAATGGCGATTGCAAATAATAATAATAATAGTAAAAAATTAAATAAAATTTTGCTTTTGTCAAGAATATTTTTATAGAAAACTTCCTTTTAGAACTTTTCGTATCCATCGCATCAATTTACGGTTTAACTTTACAATTTATTTATTTTCCCGTCATGATAAGTAAATAAAAGAAATATACCTGAAATACGATCCATCCGAAATCGTATTGAACATGTCCATAAAGAAGTCGACGAGCATCAATTATTGTCGCTATTATAGTTATGGTTGAGAACATTACATTTAACAGGAAGTTTGTGCAATAGAAAATCAAGAAAGGTGTCAAATACCTCTTATTTTCTTTATAAATTCCATAAAATAGCATATAGTGACACGGCAGTCCAATGAAGAAGGCGAACAGAAGATCAACTAAAAATTTAACCTAGAATTAAACTTAGTTCCGAAATATAGTAGAGAAATTTCAAATTCACGTGGATTTATAACCTCAATTTGTCATCATTCGTTTATGCGAAATATAAGGGAACAAACCAAGCTCCAGGTGATCGATAAATTCATTTCGTCCTTGTCCACGATTGTGGTAAAATGTATAAATTACACAAAAAATAATCGTCACAATAAGACCAATTGTAGCAGCAACTGTTGCGCCCAGGTTTACATGTATTCCTGTTCCAAAAAGCCGGAATTTTTGTGAATTTTCGCGAAATACCATAATATCAGAATCATCGTCGCTAAATAAAAAATCAACTAGCCATAGTATCAACGAAAACAAAGTTCATTTATTTTTCAGCATATGTAAAGTTTTCGCCATTTATTGTTAGACTCACTCCGTTGACTGTTATACGGTAAAAAATTTTTAGCATGGAATTATTTGGCGATAAACGATGAATCGTTAGCACCACACGGATTCTCTTAGGTTTATTCCTGTCGGTGGCAAAGTCTGGATCGAGGTTCGAGACGAGTCTGAAGAATAATCGCTCGGACACTCGGACTTCCTCTTACTTTGCAAGAAGTTATTTCAGTAAATTACGATTCGCAACGAATTTTCGGACAGTTGATTCGCACAAATCAATAGTAATTCAAAAGCAGATAGTGGTTCGAAGTCACTTTTATAATGCGCAATCATTTTTAATGATAACAAAGTCGACGAAAACTAGTTTTCTACTTTTTTAAATTATTTCTTTAAAGTGGAAGAAAACCCAAGGAAAATTCATACCGCGTTTCGAATTGTGAATAATCAATACGATCACCAGCGATATCATTCCAGAAATTTTTCACTTTTTCCATTTTTTCCCTTAAAAATAATTTGGATAAATTGTTTCTTTTCTCTGAATATAAACCAGAATGTAACAAGTGATTTACCGTTCAGGAGACCCATCCGTACTTCTTTTTCGAGAGATTCTTTGGTTAAAGAGCCTATTGAGCTTATATTGACAGGCAGTATCAGCTAGACAAACTAAAGAAGGGGTTAACAGTGGAAGAATAAGAATATTGACAATCAGTTTATGATTTTATGGACAAAGTTTAATGGCTAAGATATATGGGTAAGTCAATAAAGAGAGCAAATGAAAAAGGTGGATTCTATCAATCAGTCAGCGAGTAATGATTAGCGAGATTAATATGAAGTGATAAGTTTGAAGCCATCAAAATTATCGAAATTCTCGAATTCACAATTATGAATTTAAATAATTTAATTTGAATATTTTTATGAATATTGTCCAATCTTTTGCTCGAAAAATCATCAGAAATTAATACCTTTAAATAAAAAAATCCCATGCAATTTAATCTTTTATTTTTATCCTCATGGGATCATGCAGTATGACAAAAGGTTTCTAATTCTCGTAGCGAATGAAGACGCTTAAATCAACGATGGATGAGTGCTGTTAGAAGAAAGACAATGCAAATGAGTGGTCAGAGCTCAACATTTCTCGTTATGCTTTCTTAATTGTTAGAAATTTTTGGCAGGCAATCACTTAAGATGTGTTCATCACCAGCTGGATTTTAAGTTTCATCTCTTAAGGCAGGAACCAAACTTTCTTTCTAAACGAACTATCCACTCGAATATCCTGCCCCTTTTGGCAGAAAAAGGAAAATTGCAGCAAAATGCAATTTTAAAAAGGACAAATATTTTTGAGCACAGATGAATACCAGTTGATATAAATAAAAAATTTCATATTTAGTAAAACGTTAATCTCGAAGAATCACTTTGGTGCATCAAACAGAATCACCTGGAGGAACTATCGATCTAAATGGCCAAGATACGGTGTCCTCCAGAAACACTGAATGAAATATCCATTCACTGGTACCGATCAACTGAATGAACGGCTAAAAAATTTAATGAAACAACCTTAAGGACATATAACCCGATAACCCGATCTCGAAGAATTTGACCTTCAGATCAGATTAATAAATGATATTATTTTGGAACATAAATAATGATAGGCATTTATTGAAATGCATTTGCTATAATGATAAACCCATGTGATTATCAGTGCACTTCGACTTGATAATTGGCTAAAAATTACTATTTGTAAATGGTTGGCGCTTATCATTTCTGCTTTCTGATCACTCTATGCACTTGAAATTATGATGTAGCTGACTGGCTAATAGTAAACATTTTTGCCAAAAGCCAAGAAAGAGCAAAAGCAAATATAAAAAGTTGGACTCCCCAAGGGAGTTTTCAACAACAAATTTATTCTTATTAAAGGAATTTCTCCATAAATAATCTGAGCAAAAATAGCTCGATTATTCTGCCAATTTCAATGAGTTCAAGAAAATCCTATATTAGTCATGAAACAATTATATGAATTGAATAAATGTAATTATAGAATGGCTCAGTGGGTTGTTGCTCAATTCGGAGAGTCGATGCTGAGGTTCTATTCTATTTCCCGCAGGAGTAAACGATCTTAAAAAGAATATGTATAATAGTAGTATAACTGATTTAATAATCCATGAATATTTTTGAAAATATATAAACATCAAAAATAAATTGACAAGCGAGCAATCACGAAATCATAGAATCGATGCTGCTGACTGGATGGTGGAATGTTGTCCAGTTCACTTTCTGCAAAATTTATGAAATTCTTTTTCTATTGATCTTCGTTTCATATTTCTTTTCAGCCTATCTTACTTCGACTCAAACATGCCGATTATGGTTTTCTTTGAAGCGCTTCAAGTAAATTTCATTAAATCATTAGCAAATCCAGATGGTGAAAATCCATTTGTACTATTTCATAGTAGCGAGTTTTAATTTTAGCCAATAGCGCTAGCCAATCCAGAAATGATAAGTGCTGTTAGAATGCAAAGAAAAACGGTACGATCCAAAGAATTGATAAATCCTTATAGATACGTGATTAAAAAAGAAAAGATAAAGAATAACTGACAAAATTCATAGTAATGAAAAATTATTATTATTATAGTGATAAGACCATTATTATTATTATTGTAGTGATAAGATCAACTCAAACCACTTTTTTCATTGACTAACTATTCATTTAGTTTATTTCAATTATATCTTTTTTCTTTATTCTTTTATTTTTATAAAGAATTGAAAGTACACAGGCAAGTAAGTTATCTGAAAAACGAGAAAAAGACATGAAAATGAAGGAAGGAAGGGGAATGAATCTCTTGCTGTGAATTGCCACCGTCGAACAGTGACCTTCGCCAAAATTATTCTCCGACTCATATTTTCCTATCAAAATCAATTCCATCAAATCATTCAAATTCACTAATGACAAATAATAATCAACGATGAAACTTTTGATGAACTATTTTCATCATTAATTGATCATATTTTCATAATAAACTTTTTATTATGAAAATGGTAGAAATAAATATCTTTCGATTGTTGGTAAATGGCATCGTTTCTGATTTGTCTCATCTCTCTATTAGCCGTTTTTACGATGAGAAATTTATTTTCACCAGAAAGGTTTGTTACTTGGGGATACAAGTACAGAAGGGTCGGCAGCGTCATTCGGATTTTTTAATGGCTATCGGAGAAAGGACCATATCTCCTAAGCCTTCAGACGAAAATCTAGCAACAATAGATCAATACAAATAGAAAATTCTACAATTTATCGCATCTATCCACGATCCACTGGGATTCCTGGCTCTTATTATCCTTCCGCTCAAATTTTATCTTCAAACCTTTTCTTAAAGAAGTATAATTGCGATCATTTATTAAATATAGTAGAATTGTTTGAATCGAATTCTCTTAGAGCACAACTCCGTTTAAACTACCAAGAGAAGTTATCAGGATAAATTCAGGATAAATTTGATCTCTTCATGATAAAGCTGAACTTTTGTCCACTCAATAGATTCGCAAGAGCTTATGCAGTAGTGTTTTATGTGGTGCAGTCTGATACTAAGATTTCCACTGAAATTTTTTACCACGCAGTCCAAATTTGCCTGAAAGGGATCACAACGATTTGGAACTTCTTGTTGCTACAATAAAAGTTGGTTTGAATCAAAATTTGAATCTTCAGCCAATTAAGACTTTCTTGTGGGACGATTCTAAGAGTCATGGAATGGTGATCAAACAACGGTAAAATTCATGTTTTATCCACATTCAAGAAATAAAGAAATACAACAAAATCTTAACATTATACATATTAAGCATAAATCAATTACATTAAAATATTAAATCAGATAATCCTGCAGATTTAGCAACTTGTGGATTACAAGTAAATCTCAATTTCAAAACCAGCATAGTACGTGGAATTGAGTACAAATCAACAAATCCGTACTCTAAAATACATCTATACAGCCTATCACTCAAATAACAGCAATTAGTTTAGTTTTCCATATTCCCTACTTTATCTAATAGATACAAATCGCATTAGTCGATCGTCTCTGTTCTTATGCGTAACTATTTATATCATGCGAATTCTAAGAAAAATGACGTAGAATATAAGTAGAAATCTTATTTTTAAGGAACTAATCTGCAAAATTTTCGATGTCTTCAACTAGTTAAGCTTGTATCGAAACAGATTAAAAGAATATAGGAAGATGAATTTAAAAGATGTGAATTAAGCAATTAATCAATGTGGGAATTTTCGCTGAGGTGGACGTATATCTCATAATCTAATCTTTCTTTCACGAAATTACTGAACTGTTGATATCCACAAGGGGACGATATGGAATGCAATAACGGTTCGAATCGCAGCCAGTCTTCTCCACCTATCCGATGAGGATCATAGGGCGAGACTTCCTGAAAGATCTGGTCTGCGTTACCAGGCCTCTGGTAGAATTTACGACAGGGATAGTGGATAACAAACAAAAGGATGTGCGATCTTAGCCTTAGAAAATTATATAATACATGAAGACGCTGGATTTTCTAGTCATCTCACTTACCGGCTATGCATAATCTTCCACCATTAAGAATAATCTATAGATCCTTCAGTTCGATTAGACTTAATTATTTCAGGCCAACAAAAGTCAAGTCAAATAAAGGCATATCAAAAAGTTGGATATCTTTATTTGCATATTTTTCACTGCGAGATTTGTTAGGAAACTGTTAACATTTGTCTGAACAATTCTTTCTATATATTTTTCGTAGATTTGTTGCTAGAAGAAGAATACTAACAACATTCTCTCAAATCATGCCACCAATTTTCAAATTGCATTAAAAATTCTAAAAGAATCACAATTTTGCACCCCATGTTATAAAATGGAAATCCACTACGGAACGCTGGCAAGGGGGTTCCTATTATAAAAGACTTATTCGCTAAGATGACTGATTGGCAGATAGAAATATATCACAGAAGAAGAGTTGAAAACCAGTAATTGAGGTGGAAAGTATTGCTAATAGAAGACTATTAACATACGCTTCTGAAAAATTTCTTATTCATCCGATCTTTCGACCTGATTTAGCCAAAATCTTTGAGCGAAATATTACTTTATATTACTTTGTTCAAAAAGGATCTTGGATCCTACAACATGGATCTTCAGTACCATAGTGTATAAAAGATATATCCCAATGATGGAGATATTTTGTCAAAATTATCGAAAGATTCTGGAATTTTTGGTACCATGAATTATTTGAATATATTTAGAGAAAAATTAAGCCGATATATCGCTCACATTAGAACAAGCTCCACAATAGAACACGCTTCTTGCATATATAATAGTGGAGAAGTAGTAACAGACAAATGAAATTCAATAAAAAAGTATTTTACTTGGACAGCTCATATCCAACAAGTGGAGAATTTCAGCTGTTCGGCGAATACAGTTACCCAGTGGACAAGTAATAAGTGATAATAGACACCAATTCATTGTACTCTATGGAAGTCACATAAGAATTAAAGGTTTCTCAACATTTTGAGGTAAAAAAATAATTGATATTCAATTTCGTGCAATGAAAAACAAATTTAATGCACTGCAATCTTGCAGAATCAAAAAAATCAACAGAAGCTAAGACAGTGAAGATTTTTATCGTCATAGAAGTACAGCAAACCCCGAAAGATCCAAGGGAATTGAATGTTCATCATGACGAAATCTCGCTGGTTGAAATGCCGCTGACTTCGCCACGAATCCAAATAATTAGTTCAGACAACTTTTTTTCAAAGCAGTGTTGTATGTAAATTGATCTTTAAAATGATCCTAAGCTACCGATTTAGAAATTCTCTATGAAATTTGCTGTGGTATATTCTGTTCCAGGAAGCCATTTTGCGAAGAAAGTACATGCGACTCCTCATCACCATTTTTAAATGAGATGTAGCAGGCAGCAATGCGCAAGACGGTAATTCGAATAGCAAAAATAATGAATGAATATATCTATAGCTTAAATTTAACGAGATTTTGGAAAAAAACAGTTTTTTAAATAATGAAGGATTTTACAAAACGAAAGTAGTCATCAATATTTCTCGTGATGTGGATAAATCCACTGAGATACCGTTCGTTTGTAGGAAACAACCGAAGTAAGAAATAAAATAATAATAATAATATGGTAAGAATTCATAAAGAATTCGAAAATCCTCTTTAAAATTCAAATAAAGGAAAAACAACAATTTTTTAACAAAGCTTTTTACATAAACAATATGTCTTTTTACATAAACAATCACACAAAATTGTTTTTCCTTTTTCTTTGTTCATCTGTTAGTTAATTTGTAAAGCATTTTATTCGGAAGAGTGAGGATCGACTCGCCCTCGTCTTGCTTCACTCTTTTTTTGGGTCATAACTACTCTCCTTAACTACATTCGCTTTAACTTCAAATCTGTTAAATAAATAACCTTTACCATTTAAATAACCATTTTCATTTATTATTGTAACTGTAATTTTAATAAATATTTTTATTACGGTCGCACTTGCACCACATTCTTTTTCCGACCCCGCTTTTCCTACATTCCTACACACATTGCTTTCTTCATCAAGAAGTATTTATCATTTTTAGGAAAATAACATTCCATAGAGAATCAGTCTAGTAGAGATACAAGTGCAATACTCGGAAATTAGAAATATAAGTGCAACACTCAGAAATTAGAGAGCATTAGGAAATGGAGTGTTTTCGATGACAAAGCTTTTCCTTAAAAAGTATATTGATTAAGGGTAATATATTTTTCGAAACTGCTGAAATACCAGAAAGTTTTGTCTTGTCTTTTGCGATTGCCCGTGTAACGACTCCTCACAGCTCCTTTCCTCTTGGCTACTCCAGCCACTTTCTTTTGTACCACTTTTTTCCTCCCCTTTTTTAAAGAATAGGAAAAGTGTAGCGTCGCATCCTTTCCTTTAAAATTATCAGTGGTCATTTAGATTGAAAAAAACTTGATAAAAATTATTTGAAATTTAGAAAATTTTTTCCTTTGTTTACATTTATATTTCCTGCGACGCTAATTGGTGTGCAATCTGACTGAGTATAGTCGAATTACGGTGGAAAATAGTTGGCTTTAGACCATACTAAAACCATATCAAGCAATCGCTTTCAGGTAAACAACTCCACTTAATCGAATTTGTGTCCTAAATATTGTCCTACACTATTGGGGTTCTTCTTCTAACACCGCATCTCACCTTTACTGGCTCGGCTGGTTATAAGCGTTTTCAGGCCACTGATCTGATGCTACACCTAAAAGTAGCAGGAAATAGCAGAAAGGTGGCACTTTAAGTGTGACTCTTAACGCGATTGTTTTCGTATTTGTGTCGAGTACTGTAACCGGATCTGTCGTTGGGTCCTTTATTATGCTTTTGTTTAATAGGGCATTCAAGAAAGTTGTAAAGAGTTGTTACGTGAGAGGTCAGTCAAGCTGAAGAAAAACTTGTTAGATATTTGAAATTTTAAGGATTTGCAAAACGTTCCTGCAAGAAGGAAAAAAGGGAAATATTATGTTTATTGCAAGGCCATATTTCATTATTTCTTATAAGGACGGAAATGAAGAAAGCGGATATGAAAAGAATGAAGGAAAGCATCTTGCCAAAGGGACTTTTAGCGAAAAGCAGTCACCACTTATAATATTAATAATAGTCTTATTATTATGCACACAACCTTTTAACCTTTTGTAGTGTCGTATGGTTCAGGACAATTGCATGCGCGGCTTTATTAAAACGGTTGTTTTACTCGTAACTCACTAAAAATTTAGTCGATGCTTAGTCGATCGTTGCAGTTAAAACTGTTTGCAGAATTTATAAGGAATTTCTAAGTCCATAGAATTCTTTAGGAGTTGTTTTTTGAGTTTTTCGTTCCCTTCGATTCATTAAATACTCTAGAAATCCACTTCATGCACATTTAAAGTAATCCTGAATCATTTAGAAAATCTGTTTGTTCTATACCCTTACAAGATGCGAAGAAGAATGACAAAAAGGAGAAAAGTGTCGCCTGCCAGCTGAAAATCTCGAAAAATGTCGCTAAAGTAGCGAAACGGAAAACACTTAGCGTCTTTAAAAAAAAAATCGATTAAATCGATTAGTTTTAAAAATCGATGGGTTTTGATATTTTCACTGAAGTTAAAAAATTTCAGTTGGAGCAATTTTGCGGAAAGTGTTAAAATGTCTCTCTCTTGTAATTTTTGAGGATTTTTTTAAAACAATCCTTCGAAGGTGCATTATTATTTATTTCATTTTATATTGTTGCTTTTGTTTCAGTGAGAATTGAAACCATTTATTAATGCATTCTTACCTTATTGGTTTGTTTTTTTGTCGCTTATTTCATCTTATTTTTTTGATGGATTTTTATTTGTCACATTACGAATCACCCTTAAATTAATTAAAGATTCTTGCTTGGCTCTTTTTTCGTTGCTAAGTCAGTCGTTCATTCGAAGCATTTCATCTCTTCCTTATCGCAGTAAATTTTCTTTCCGTTTTATCGCTTTTTGCTTCTGATCTTCTGCTGAAGAAAATGGGATAAAACGAGATAAATGGGAATGGGATTTTTAATATTTTTGGTACTTTTTACCCGTTTTGCGGATTAGCATGGAATCTTTCAGTTTTCTTTTGTTCTTTATTCTACACTTTTCAGAATCGAATCAGTTATCCATAGCGGAGCGTTTTACTAGTTATGAACTGTTTTTGTCTAAAACTGCTTGAATTTTTCAAGTTTGCTAAATTTTTTTAGCACGATTGTTTCGTATTCTGTCGATCATGGTTAGTTCTCTTTTCTTGTCGTCTTTTATAATTTGGTTGGAATGGTCGAGTATTATTGCTTCGACCAAAATGAAGCATTGAGAATTCTCTCCTGTACTTTGGTCGGAATGTCATTAAAGGCGGACGATACTGGGATTCACTTTTAATTTTATTTTTTAAATAATTCTTTATCAAAAGGATCTTGTAAGGGGGAAAAAGAAAAGAATAGTAAGCAAATAATAATAGTAATAGTAAGAATAGTAATAGTAGACCAAGTCAGAAATGGTGAGTGCTGTTAAAAATTAGTCATATCATACTTTTATATATATTTAAATTAATTTTCATTAAAATATTACATCAATACATTGCATTTAATATTTATTTAATATTTTGTATGTTTAAAAATAATATATTTGATCTCCAATCTGCTTGTCCGATGCAATCGCTAGTAGTAATAGAAGCCATTCCTTTTTCCATCTGACTCCATATATCGCTGGTCCCCCTATACACTCAAAAACCTTTCCTATCAGTCCAGGTCTTGACTGGGCCTCCTCGTTTTTGATGCCAACCATCACAGGGTTTAGCAAATAACGAAATATGCGTCAACTCCTGTGGTGGACGACGGAGAATGTGGCCTATCCTAGCGAAGGCGGCGCTATATGATAATATTATTTATGCAAGTGGTATTTGAACGAAGATCTTGTGATATTTTATCCGCTCGAAAATTTAAAATTGTGAATTCTTAGGAGAATGTCGAAAATCATTCGGATGGGAAGTTAAAAAAATATAAGTGGTATCCAGAATATATGGGAATCGAAGTTCCTGAACGGTATCTATCAGATTTAGCATATCGATATGATAGTGATGGCATAGATGATGATGATGATATGGATGATGATGATGGATTTGAAAGTTGCTGTCAATTTAATACGAACGAAAACCAAAGGTTGGCATAGCTTATTCGGCCATATTTACTTCGAATTTCTAACTTTTTTGAAGTCTAGTTTTTTATTGAAAATTTCAATTAAACTACCTTTTTTTTGAATTTTTGAACTTACTCAATTTTTTTTCAATCAAGAAATCGTTCCTTATTATTCAAAAAATTTAGCTTGTTTGGAAATTTTCTTTTTTAAACGAATTTTTGATGCTAATTTTAAGGATGAAAGTTTTGAATAAATTTTAATTTTAACTTAGCTTTATGTCGGTATCATTTGAATATTCATTGAAATTCACTGAATGCTTTTTTTAATTATAATTTCGAGAAATATGGTTGGAGAGTTTTTTTTGCTTCGTATTATAATTTTCATATAATATAATTTTATAATTTTATAAAAATGTAATTTTTCAATTTCCCATAATTTATTGGTTTTGGTTCATTAAATATTAAATATAATTATTAAATATTAAATATATTATATTAATAGAATAGAGGGTAGAATGATTAGTGGATTATGGCTCAGTTCTGACGCCAATGCTGAAATTTTACTCCCCAGAAGTAGACCTGTCCAAAAATCCAGATAATACTGGACCCACCGTATTTCTGAAAAATATTTATATATATATGAATAGAACGGATGGGCATTTTCTGTACATATTTCTGCGAGAATGGTGAAAAAAGAATTTTAGCTGATCGAATCTGTGGTGATCGAATTTCTTATGATTTTCTCATCACACTGCCTGATCTAAATTTTTTTAAAATTTTTCTAAATTAAATTTTTCACCATAATTCATTAGTTCCATTTCAAAAGAGAAGGGGGCTAGGGAATGTGAGGTTATGTGAACTATAAATTTTACTTTTATACACGAAAAAAAATTTATATTACTTTATATAATAACTTTTATTTCTCTGTTTTGCAATGTTAGGGAATGGTTTGTCTCACAAGCTGTTAGTGTGAAATTGAATATAGGTTGCCTTGTTGTTGTTCTCCTGTCTTTATATTTGAGCAATGGTTGTGATTTCATATTTTGACTATTGCCAAAGGATTAGTCTAGTTTATTTACCTAATGCAAATTAGAGAAGCGTCTGATCAGCGGTGGTGAGACCCCTTGAAAAAAGATGTTTTGGTATAATATATTTAATAACCACTAATAATAACCACTAATAACCACTAATCATAGTGGAAAATACTTATCGTATCGTAGATTTTATTTCTTCAGCATACTTTTTTCCTTATAATGACACAAAAATTGTAATAATAATATTAATATTCATTTTTTAAATTATATGCGATAATTATCTCTTCATTCTTCTTTTAGCCATAGCGCTGTTACTGATTAGAGTGGATCTATTGACTACAAATATGAGGCGTTTAATGCTTGAAAGTCACTCGTTTTTACTATCGAAATTCATAGACCACATAAGTGGCTCCATGATTAAGGGGTCGTATGTGCAACAAATGGTGCTTTTATGTACCGGCTAATCCTATGGTGACATCTGACAAGTTTGTTTTGAATCAAACCCAATTTTAAATTAAAGACAATTATGAAGGCAAGAGAAATACTCTTTGAGTAACACGAACAACCATATTGGCGTTTGTGGATGTTAGGAGCCAGGCATTGACCATCCACCATTTTCATTTAGGTTGATAATGGCCTATTTATATTTTTTTTGTTAATTATATTTTTATAGTTTCGCAACTGGAATGAAAAGTTTTCGATTATTAACATTGTAATCGTTAGTGGTAGATTTATTTGTTATTTTGTCCAAATCTCGTTATGAACCTGTTACACTTGTCAGGTTCTCTTCACATTATCTTATTTTTCTCCATTGTAGGGTTATTAATTTATTTCCACATTTCTACAGTCAAAAACAATAATACTTGTTCAATTTATCACTCCTAACAAAGGATTTGTTTCTGATGAAGTTCCTTACAGAAAATTTATAGAAAATTTCGATATTGATTATTATAAAATTTCTTATTTTTTGTATATTTTTGGTAAAAAACTGTTGCGATTCGCTTGACTGTTTAAAATTCTTGAGTTTTTTAGCTATTTTATTATTCGAGTTGCTTTCAGCTTGTGGCTTAGAAAATTTCTGAGCTTATTTCCTTAAAAAATTTTTCAATTTTATTATTTTTAACAGTGAAATGAGCAATATATTTCATATTAGTTTTTTTATGGTAGAAATTTATTATGAAAAGGGATACCAATTTTTTTTTCGCACCCACTAAATTGATTATAATTTATAGAGGGATAATTTTTGATGAGCATTAAATAGATATTTCTTGATTTTTTTTGTAAAAGGCGTCTTAAGGAAGAATGCTTTCAACCTACTTCATCTTCATTTATTTACGGTTCATTTCTATGAAAAATGTAATGGGAACTGAGGTGGGAAGCAGAAGCATAGACTATTTGAACTGCTTGATTTTTATAAAAATATAAAGGTAATAATTTGGAAACCCAGGTGTTTATATATAAGTAACTTAACATCTCAGCATGCCGTTTATTCGTTTGTTGATTGCTAATATTTAATTTAACATTATTTTGATTATTTTGATAATTTTTTTGCATTTGCCAAGTTGTTTTAATGAAATCTTACTGAAATCAAAAAATATGAAATATTTGAAGGGAAATTTTTTTTTTTTTTAAATTTTTGAATTTCTCTCATTAGTAAGAATTGAAGAATTTTCTATTATTGAAACGGTTGGTATGCCAGGTTTAAAAGCAAAAAAAATATCGTTGCTCATGTCATATGAATTACGTTTTAACATTATCGCTATTGCCAATATATTTTCTCGACTATTTCAATTTCGAGTTTAGCATTTTTAGCATTTGATTTTTCCGAATTCTTTTTATATATTTTGGAAGCAGAATAGCCGAATGGTTGTTGCCCAGATTGTCTCTTCCAGTCAACATTCGGAGCCTACCTTTAGCAGAAATAGATTTACCTTTAAAGAATTCGAATGTAGCCGCCGGCTACCTCCACTTCTTTTCCCAAATCATTCTATGGTAAAAGTTTTTAATCGGTGCTAATAGCGAGTGGAGCAGCCGTAACCAGAATTGGTGAAATCACTTAATGGTGAAATAACCTTTTTTTCTTGTACATATTTAGTCCTATAATCTCACAGTGAATAGTTATAATTTTGACTTGAGCTATTAATTTTCTTATAGTTTTAAAAGAATGAAATGAATTATTGAAATGGTTTTTCTGTTGAACTTGAAAATCTCAAATAGAAATCATTACTGACTTTTGTTTATTTATGTTCATTAAATAAATAAATATATAATGAAAAAGTTCTCATATCAGTCGTTTTAAGTAAAGTAACTATTCAGCAGAATTGACCTCGGATGACCTTTATTTGTTGTGTCTCATTGACTTAATATTCTTTTAGTTTTACAATGCTTTGTTCTATAAAAAATGTTAAAACGTGCTTATAGAGTGGTACGTTTTTCAGCTCATCGCCTGTTTTGTATTATATTCACTTACTGTTTTATACGAAAACGGGAAGAATTATGGTTTTGCTTGCGGCAATCTTCTTAATCTACATCATATTTCTCAGTAAGTTGAAATGTTTTGTGAAAATTAAAATATAAATATACGGAGTTCTTTTGGCTTCAAACTGTCATTCTTGTAAATCGTATCGCCATTATTCTTCTTCATTCTTAATTATATTTCCTTAATAAATGTAAAAAAATAAGTCTGTGCAGTGGGAATAATAAAAGTCTCGCCTGCCACTCAGTTGTATTTTTCTTTTATCAACTTCCTTTGGGCAGTCAAGACCATATGACCAGATTTTTTATTCTCAAACTTGGGTAATTAAGCTATGGATTCGAAAACAAAAAAGAAAACTAAATCAATCAAAACGCCCAAAATCAAAAAAATTAAATAATATAAAAAAATAAAAGGAAAAGTTTGGACATATTAATTTTAATCTTAAGAAAAATAAAAAAATAAAAAAGCGAAATTAATTGCCGCGGTCATGATAAAAATAATAATTTGTATCGTAGATTTATCGCCAGTACCAACCTTTTCTGAAAATTAATTAAAAGTTTATTAAGAGACTGGTCTCCATTAAAAAGTGCCTTTGACATCGAAACTAATTAAAGGAATGGATCGCTTCTCCGGTGGTTGGAGTCATTAATTTAAAATGATAAATTGGGAAGAACATCGCGTTTCTGACAACTCCATTTTTCTTTTGCGATTTTTAGCCGCACTACAAAGCTTAACGGAAACGGAACGGAGCTCAAGGGGGATGAGAATGTGTGGTGTTAAAAGGCTACAGCTCGGTCTGAATTTAAAATATCAGGAAGGTTTAGGAGTTTGCAATTACTAATGGATTTTCGGCAAAATTGCGCAATACTTTGAGCATAATGAAATTGGAAGAGGTGATTTTGGTGAGGTTTTTTCCAAAATGTATTAGGTATGTAAATGTGTAAAATATGTTTATACAAAGTATATAAATATTAAAAGAATTCCAACAAAATGAGTCGAGATTTCGCAATTTGAGCGGCGATTGAATCTCTTTTTTCTGGGTTTGCATCCACATTTACATGTTTTCCCCAGTCAGATAATGATTGAACATTAATGCACGTAATAATTATTATTTATAGATTTTTTATTTTATTAATATAATTTAACTTTATTAATCAATTTTTTATCCTAATTTTCATCTTTACTCTTCATGTATTTCAAATGATTCAAAATTTGCCTTTTTTTTCAGGTTTTCCAACGATTATTCTATCGAACAATAATCGTCGACCAATGGCTCTTTCCAGTTCCTTTGTAAATAACTTCGACCGTGCTCGGTAATTTTTTCTTGGCTACAGTTTTTTATGTTATTTTGTTATTTACGAAGAAGTTCAATTCACTTTCCGGTTCAGTTTAGGTAGAATCGTAAAGAAATAGGGAAAGTAAAATATGAAAAATTTCAGCGCACATTCTTTACTTGTGAATTTATGTAACGCATATAAAGCCCGGAAAGTTAATGGTGATTTGTGTAATCGATTATGTTTTGGTGATGATTGGGTTATTCTTCATCTTTATGAAGGTAATAAGGTAGTAATTACGCTCAAACTATCTAGTCAAGAAGTGGTTTTAAAAAGCCAGCATGCAACTATCGACGAATTTGAACAGCTTGATCCACGAGTCAATGAAAAAGATTTTATTAATGCTGTTTGTTTTTTTAAAGATTATATAAATATGGTATCTGAGGTTTTTGAATAAGCAAAAAGCACGACTGATTCTTCATGTAACCCCATTTTGTATATAAAGTGAAATGAATGTTTAAGAAGTGAATGTGAATGCAAAAGTTTAAAGTTCTACCCCTTTCAGATCTTAGATATCGTAAACTACAATCTTCGCTTAGGTTGGCCTTCATATTATAAAAAACATTTGATGGAAATAATTTGGCCTATGTATGCACGAAAAAATGGCTTTTTGTCAGAATCAGATCGTCGCTCACTATGGACATTGGTATCGCAGGAAGAATATATAACATTTAGAATGCTTCCATTATCTCGAGTCACGCCAAAGGTACCATAAATTCATTAAATTTATAGATATTATAATGAATTACAAATTTTGAATCTTTTTTACTCAGTATGTTCATTAATTTTATTCAGTGGTTAGTTTTTAGGTAATTGGTACTTGTGGTCATTTTTACCAAGTGGAACATCTAGTTCCTTTTCGGATGAAAGGATATTATATGAATTTGAAAGCTAAAATCTTGGTTCATTTAATGGGAATGCTAAAGCTTTTTGACGAATTTTTAAATGAACCATTACAGTGGTGTGATGTTAAATTTGACAATCTTGCACTTGCCGCTGAATATCCCAAACGGTAATTTTATATTCCATAATTTCTGTTTTACCGTATTTATTTTATTTGACAACAAATTAGTCAATTAGTCAACTTCAGTTTTATGGTGATGGACGCTGATATGCTTTATACGAAATCGCGTTTGGATTCAATTTTAACTTCTCGTCATTGCATTAATGATACGGATTGTTCTTTTTTTGATTGTGAATCAAGATGTAATACCACTGTTGGATTTTGTTCTCGAAGACTGAATAATAATGTTGATGTTAGTTTTTCTTTATTTTGTTTTAATGTTTTTTGAATCCTAAATATGATGAAAAAATTTATTATTCTGCAAAAAGATATAATTATCGAGGCTACCAATTTATAAAAATTTGTGTAACAAATTAAAAAATTAAAAAAATTAAAAATTAAAAAAAATCAAAATTAAAAAAATTAAAAAAATTAAAAAATGATGTTGGAGTATACTTGTTGATTTTCTAATTTTAATTATAACTCGAATTTTCGCAATATATGAAACGAAATCAATTCACAAAATTTTCAGGTAGTGTGTAATAAGCTAGTTTTTCAATTGTTTGGTAAATTTTGGACAAAATCGAATCGTTATTTAGCAGCGTGTCATGATAGGACAATATCAACTGAGCAGCGACTTGCTGACTTGCGACTGGCCTGGTCGTGGAATCTTCCCGATGTTTAGAAAAAGGAAATATGAAAATTTGTGCCTCAGATCTCAAAATGAAATTCGTTTTTCTTCTATAATATATTAGTTTTTAAATATTTCTGAATAATTGTTCAAAGCGATAATTTTTAGAGTGGTTTATTACATATGCATATGGATATTTAGTTGTTTGTCTTGGCTTTTCCAGCGGTTTTTGGTTTTCTATTTGCTTTTTTTGGATATATGGAGCCTTGAAATGGCCCTATTGAAAGATGAAAGACGAAAGTACTGTCGCAAGTTTCATTTACACATTTACAAAAAAAATCAACCATATTGTTGGTGAAAAAATTTTCTTAGGTCCTTCACAAAATTCGACCGCTTTGTCGTTTACATTGTGTAACCTTAGCTTGAAAATCAATATCTATTTTTATTCAAAATAAGCACCGTTACAATCAACACATTTGCCAAGTATACTCCATTTCCATAGAAGTCCAAGCTTCCGAAGACAGTGAACATTCTTAAGTACTCTTTTTTTCAAGTTTTTTTTCTTTGAAGAAGTTTTCGTGAGATCAGAAAGGATGAGTGTGAGAGTGTTGGCGAAGGGTTAGAATATGGTAGGACATTGATATGCGGTTCGGCAAATTTTTTTGCAAAATGACTGATTCCTGCGACTTGTCGCAGCTTAACGTTGTCGTGTAGAATGATGACTTTTTTGTTGTCCAGAGCTGGTTGCTGTGTTCGTAATTTCTGGTGGGTTCTTCACTTTGCAACTCTGGAATAATATTGTTGCATCAGGTTTCAGAAAGCTATCTTTGTGAATTTCAACTACAATTAATCAAATATTGGCCATGGACTTCCACCGAAGATTCCAAAGGGATTGTATTAATGAATAAACAATAAACGCCAAACGTATCTTCATCTGATACTCAACAAATTCATGGTGCTTATTTGTCAAACTTTTTTTCCCTCATTGCACAAAGGTGAAGGTACAAGGTTCTTGTGCTAAGTCTGACGTTAGCTTTAGCCGTTTCCTTCCATCTATAGCATGAGACCCGTTCCCAATGCCGCTGTTCTTTGTTTAAGTGTATCAAAAAGCTATTTGCATATTTTTAGCTTCTTTTATTCGACGTCCCAGTTTGAACTCATGAAATACCACAGTTCACAGAAAATTACACCATTGTCAAATTTGATATCCAAATTACTTTAAAAAAATCGCACATTGCTTTTCAATGAAAATAAATTGGAGATCACGACGAGTAAAGCGATGCATGACACGCCATTTCGCGTGAAGTGATGAAAGATGCGACCACAAGTCCAGGATACCAAAAAAAACCCCAAGTTTGTAAATAAATTATATAATAACTCTGCAGTTTATGAGATTTTAGTAATACACGGGTGACCATTATAAATAAAATAATTTTCCGATTATTTTTTTATCAAAAAATTTGTTGTTTTTTGCATTGCCTTTGATTCAATTGGGAGATTTGGGATTTTAAATTAAAAGTGCCTGATCGATGTATTATTTTCCTAATCGATATGCTATTAATAACATTGTTGATTTGGTAAAAAAATTGCTATTTCCGATTTCCGATATCGTCATTTGGTGGAGATCTATCTTATACATATTCGGTTCAAATTTTTCAAATTTCTTATTTCAGGGCAGAATTTTTAATCGGAAATTGTATATTTGGCCAAAGAGTAACTGAAAAGAGTGGGAAAGCAAAAAAAATCCGAATTCTTAAACTCTAATGAATAATCTTGAATAAAGCAATATCAGAAGGAGAATATTTCAGTGATAGGAAGATAACAGTTTTAATCACACATCTTTTTTGGTGATTCTGGCTTCCATACGTAATCCAATGCATAAATTAATAAATAGAAAAACGTCACAGCCACATTTTGTATGGCCTTGAGTTGGTATATCCACAATTAGATGCGTTTATCGTGAGCCTTTCGAAATCATCGATGATTGCCATTTTTATTCATTAATGCGGATCCCCTTGAAAAATTATAAATAATCATAGGTTAATATAATAAATTTTCTTCGAATTCGAAACAGAATTTTTATTTCTGATCGAAAATCAAAATTTTCCGACAACTTCGTTATAGCCGCGATCTTCCGCGATTTCTAAAGAGACCTTTCAATAAGGTAAAAATTGCATCGACGCAGTCGTTTCAAGATCTCAACTTTCAAATTTAAGTTTTTGCAGCGCAAAACTGGTGTGAAATTGAAATTGCGAATATTCGCCTTAATTCGTCGTCGTTAAAATTGGATTTAAAAAAATTAAATTAAAAATTAAAGCTGAATTATTGTTCAGTGGTGAATTTATATGTCGTTTTCGCATATTTTTCGAATAATTGAAAATAAAATTCTATTCGTAATTGACATTTTTCCATTCTAAGAACTTAGAAATGCCATTCCATTTTTTCGATGCACGAACGAGACAAACAGAATCAAAGAACCGAATTATTCTCGAGAGTCAGTAGTAGTTTAAACGTAATAGTTATAAAAGAGAGCGGTGGCCAGGCTAGAAGAGGGCGGTGACCAGGCTAGAAGAGGGCGGTGACCAGGCTAGAAGAGGGCGATGGCCAAAGTGGTTTAGAGGACTCCTATTGCTCTGGTCTCTCTCGACACGCTGATATTGTACGTTTTGTTCACAGTAGAAATAAATATATCTTTCATAAGTATCGCAGTTGGTTCTGGCAACCCACTCGTATTTTTGTCGCGACGTGGCACAATTTCTTTGGTTGACAAACCAACGAGTCTAAGCAGAAATGGCGAATGGTGCGAAAATGGTGCTATGCGATGTGTAATGCATATAATAAAATGCGATAAAATATTTAATACAAATGAGGCGTATTTTTATTGCAGCTCTAAGGCAAAATTTATAAAGTACATATTCAAAATACAGATGGGTTTAACGATTCGTTAAAGTTAATAATCACTTTTCCACATTTAATACAACAGATCTAAGCGGAATAAGTTAGAAATGCGTTTGGAACAAAAAGATTTCCTCGTTGAATACTGAAATTTCTACTCCTGGTTTGCATTAGTTCAGTTAAGCCGAGGCTGCGTCAATTAATCACGAATTGACAGGGAGTTTAAGCTACTCTATCAGCTTGTTCCTTTCTTTTTATAAAAATTCCCATGTACTCTCCAGTTTTCCAGTTTTCGCTCGCCGCACTCTATTCTCGATCTGATTACATCTTACAGTCTGATTACATTGCCATTTGCGCAATAATTATAAATATCACTAGATAAAGAATAAAGCGCTAATCTCAGCGACCGACAATTTTATAGCGCAATAATTAATTAAAAAGCGTTTTATAATGGCCCTTAAATCCTGAACGGAACAAAAATTTTCTCGATTATTAAAGCACATTTCGACAGTATTTCAAACCTCGCTATATTTGATAAAAATATGTTGTCGCTAAATTGCCCAAAGTTCCCAGCATTTTAGTCTCTTTCCAGTGTTGCCGGGATCGTAAAATATCATAAAATACCCTTTTCAACCATTGGAAGATGGAAATTTTGGGGACAGAACTCTTTGTTTTACGATGAAAACGAATTGATAGGTATAACACTGATGCAAATTTGAACCTTTTGGTACGGATTTAACTCCCAAATTTTTTGAGAGTTTATATTTGGAAAGTCTTAATTTCAGTCCATTGTAGTCGAACCGGCTCTATCGTTAATTTTTAAGGCACTTTTAAGGCACAGGCAATTGTTTAAAAATAATAGGGAAACGTTCAGATTTAAAATATGGTCCCAATGTCTTCGGTAGACTGAAGTGCTGCAGAAGGAAATCTGATCTTAAGTGAGACAAAAATTTTTGAACAATGGTTCGAATCGCTTCTAAATTTGAACCCTTCGAATTATATTTCGCTTTTAAAGAGAAATGAAAAAATTTGAAAAGCTCACCATAAGTGCCATAATGAATGAATACCCACACAAAAAACTAATTAAATTTCACTTGAACTTAAGAAATTACAGATAAGAAGAAAACAGCAAGTGGAAAGCCACCTTACAACGCTGGAGGCGCTAGTTTCAAGAGGTAATTCAATGATTTCTTGAGCGGAAAACACGTCATTTAGAATTTGCCGATCCGATTTTTTACCAAATCCTATGCCATTTAACTCTTCGCTATTTCCCAGCGTAGCAAATGTTCGAAATTTAGATCTCATTACTTCACCAAGACCAGCGCTTGTGATTGTTTGAACATGAACGGAATATTCTGTATCACGCTCCAGTCCCTTAAATTCGACATTCCGTGCTTGTGGAGGATTGATTGTAACTTTTTCGACTGCTTTAAGTGGTGCGGAAAGCAAAATACGATAGCCGATTATTGCTTCTGAACGGGAAATTTCAAGTTGAGGCGCTTGCCATGAACAAAAAGCTGATGGATTGTCCAAACTTGCTCTGCATGAAAGAGCTGTGGATGAATCGATTATTTCACATGATTTGTGTGTGACTGATGGAGTCTGCTCACAGCTATTCGTTTTGAAATGCACATTGTCAATAATCTAAAAAAATAAATGATAAAAATAATTCGAAATCTTATTAGTTGGATAGCTGATTTTCTACCTGATTTTCTAAACGGTTCTTTAGTTAAAAGATCTTGAAATGATATTTTTAGCCAGCTCAAAAAGTTTAGTGACTGGTAAAAGTCTCAAAAACTTTAAAAGATGACAAAAATTTTAAGAATGAAATAAAAAATATGAAAAAAGGCATCACTTGTTGATTATTTTCTGCCCTCACTTCAAGAAAATAAGAACATGAGAAATTTAGTTCGTCAAGAAGTGCTACACATTGTTGTACAGTAATTTCAGCCCAATCTTGACCTGAAGTGTCCAAGTCATAATAAGTTTTTTGTTTTTCATCATTCAACTGACATGCTAACAAGCGCCATCTGTAATAAATTCGATGTATTCGACGTGAATGTGTAATTTTTGAACAATATTATATAATTATGATTTAAATCTGAACCTCACAATAAAAGTGGTTTTCATTGGAGAACAGTGTGGAGAATTCAACCAGCTGATCATTGTTTTCAATGTTCCATCTTCAAAGTAAGGGGTTTTTACTTCCAATAATGAAATTTTTTCTTTTTTGTGCAGATTTGAATCCGATTCCAAAATGACACCTTCTTGTGGACCGTAAGATGGAGTTGTCGAACTTAATATGCTCAATGTAATTGGAGTCCAAGATGAAGCTGTACGAATGAAAATTATCGCTTTCTCACCGTGTAATTCACCATCGGATGAATCCACACTTGCATGAACCTATAAAACTACCAATAAAACAGTGGTGATCAATCGTTTAAAATTTATCATTTCGGAATTGGAAAATAATAAATTTAAAATGAAGCGATTATTTTCAGCTCTGGAAGCATGACAGTTAAGTGGAAAATGGTTTGCTATTTTGAGCGAGAATTCGGCTTCTACCTCCTATCATTTGAAAAAGTCAAGTGGCATCCACTTGTGTTTCTATCGCTAAGCCACTCTAGCAGAAATTACTAATAGCCAGTGAAGCCCACAGCTTAGAAATGCTGGGCGCTAACCACTCCATTTTTACTGTATTTGCCCTATTTAATAAGGGATTTAAATATTATATAAAAGAGATAGAGTGGTTGCAAAACCAACCTCAGTGAGATACACTGATTGTCCTTCCAATCCCTCAATGAGCGCTGAGGTACTATAAGAAGGTACTACAGTAGAAGTACGTTCTTTATCAACGAAATCATCATTATTATCAGGATCGTCTTCATCATTGTGATTGGCGGAACGCTTTTCCTGTTTTTCAACATTTTGTTTCCATAACAACTCCTCGTATACATTTGCTTGCTGCTCTGATGACTTATACCAAGTTATCTGCCGAAAAAAAAGAATGGATAATAAAACATGCATAAAGCATTTATTTTGAGTGAAAAGCCGTCTATTCAGGTTCTTGGTGAAAGGCAAACAATATATATACAGGATGGATTTTGCGCTGTTTCCTAAAACTTCTTTGAGTGCAATTTTAAAAAAAGTTAATTAAAATTTTTCAAGAAATTTTCTTACAAAATAATTTTTGATTGGAAGTTCCGAAGCAGGAGGTGCCCAATTTATTTCTTGAGTCCATAGGCCATCAGGATTACTTGTAGTTTTGCCAAGAGATAAATTCCTTGGTTGTCCTGGAGCTCTTGGCTCTGGAAATTTAAAACAATAAATTTTCAATTGCTCGATTAAAGTTGTAACCACGTCAAACCGATAAAATGGAATAAAATGGAAAATTTGGACAATAATTTCCAAAAAATTCTTTTCACATAATCGCTTTTTGATTATTTTGTTGATATTTTATTGCGCATATGTAGAGAAATGGGCATTAAATTATTTTATCGCCTAATCTACATTGCATGCCGAGCAATTCATCCGCTATTTGTACGGTTAAAAATTTTTGTTAGAGAATCGCTTGGTGATATGTGAGCCATCAGTAGCATTGCCCACAGGTTCATTCCTATCAGGGTCAAGGGAAATTGAACTTCTGGTGCTCCAAATACATCGAAGCAACTCGACCACTCTTTCATCTGAGCAATGTGAATTTCCTTGAATAGCTTGATTTCTTGTCATTAAGTTAAATCCGAGTGGTTTTGGGGATCGACTTGTATATTTATCCTCAAGTGACTCTCAGACCATTTAACTAGAAACTAACAATTCCAATCATCAAAAATTTCTGCAAAAATAAGTAACTAACCTTTAGAAAGTTTGAACAATGAACTACTATTAGAGAAGCCAAGGCTACCATATGTATTAACGGCTGCAACGCGAAATGTATAGTACCTTCCAGGTGTGAGTAAATGCTTTAATATAGCATACAATTTATTTCTCTGCAAAAAAACATTTAGAGCTTCTCATTTTTACTGTAAAAATATGATCTTCGAATGGCCAAATGTCCGAATGGTATTGTGGAGCCATTATAAAATTCTCTGGTGAAGAATTTCGCATCATAGTCGGCGGTGGGCCAGACAAGAAGAAGAATGCCTTTATACCCATATTTTATTTACTTCTAACGTTTTTTAATTAGAAAAAATAAGAAAGCTAAAAAAGGCTAATTTTAGAGCAATGAAATTTCGCCTAAAATTTTTTTCATTCGTTTTTATTTGCTTAAATCGGATTGGAGAAATTGATTCTATCAATAGACTATGTACAGATTCTGCATTCTTAGATTTTTTTATTACTGAGAAATAATTTGAATCTTCAGTTATAGAAAGAAATATTACTAATATAAAATATAATAATACCTATTATGGATGTATTATGACAGTGGAGGTTCTCCGTGCTAAGCCGGTCAATTCAAGGTGAATTGGCTGGATCGAACTATTACAAGTCTAAAAAGTAGTATCTCTACCAAATCTTTTCGTATAACGCTTATATCTCTTTTTCAACTGATTATATGAACGAGCCAATGTTCATAACTTTATGTCGTCCACGTGAAGAAGATGGCTAATGCTGTTTTCGCTTTTGAACCTGTATCCATATCCACTTCTCTGATTATCTGTCTGTGAAAGTGTTTAGACTTATGTAGAACAATAGAGAATAGTAGGGAACAATGTGCATATGTTGCACTCGATAGCCACTCGTCCAAGCTGTTCTGAATTGAATCCAAGTCACTTTCTACAGCTTCATAGATTGGTCTATCGGTATTGGAGTCTTGAACGATTGTTTTACCTGTGAGCAGCTAATGTTTGGAGCATCCGATATTGTTCCCAATGTTATTATACCTTTGTTATTATGCCTTTTTGAACTATATTTATGTACTGGCTCATATGGTCATGAAGCTTGATGGCTATTATGCTTGCCTACCAGGAATTTCCGCATTGTGGAGAGGCAGATATTTGGACGATATTGTTTCCTTATGAGGATTTTTTATGATCTTTACCGTCCTTCTTTGTGTTAACCAGTCTGGATAAGAGCCTGCCACAAACAGCTGGTTCATCTGTGTTGCTCGTCGTTCATGAATAGTCGTTAATTTCCTCAACCAGTAGATGTGGATATCCAGACCAGATCCTGTCCAACTTTTTTTTTTGAGCCGCTGTTAGATGCCAGCACTAATAATCTGATGATAATAATAATAAATAATAATAATTAATAATAATAACAATAGTAATAATAAAATAACTCGTTCTTGCTCTAATAGCTATGGCTTTAGTAGAAATTGTTATAAGGATTGTATTTGCATCTTCAGGTATTTACATGATGGTACTCTACTAAACATCAGTAGTCGATAGTTGATCTCGATGATTAATCAATTGCAGCCAGTCTCGATAATTAATTAGTTATAGCCAGTTTATTTAAGGTTTTTTGCCTTATGACAACTGCTTTGCTTTGCAATGGAAATGTTGGAAGGCAATTTCCAGCTGCCCAGGTTGTTGGATGCGCATTCTTTTCCCATTTTTACAAATCACTTTGGATCTAAGAGGTATGTAGAGTCGATCATTCTCCAGCTTCTATGAAGTTATGAAGTTGATCAAGTAGCAGTTTCTATATAATGAATATGGGTCTCTTTTCGTTTCACAGTTTCTCTTCATACCTTAATTTGTTTCATTAGGTCTATTGTTGTGATATTCCATCAATTTCATATCACCTTGGCTCACCCATGTAACGTTCGTCCCAGTAGCCCTTTAACGCCAGATTACTCTAGCTCCACAACACCTGGTACAATTCTAGCAGCCCACTTATCATCAAATAGTACTTCCCTAAAATATGATGTAGGCAAGCATGACATGACTGTAGTATGCGACATTCTTATATTTGAGATAAAGCATATAAGCATTAAGAGTTAAGGCTTTGGCTGCGATTCGAACCAAAGTGTTGTTGGTACATTCCATATCTATTGCCCGCCTTTAATTACTACAATAAACTGACCACCGTGTTACTTCTAACATTTCTTTAGCTCCACTGGTTAATAGGATAAGACATTTGTTAGATAATAACTTATTAAAGATTCAAATATTTGTGGCCAGTGGTCTACCGCAATCATGCAATCTTGATCATGATCTATCAATATTAAAATAGAATGGAAATATTATTTCAATCCCTCGAAAAATTTATAGTTTATTTAGAGTTTATTTTATCATTTAAATAAGCGTAATAAAATGATATAGCATTTTCCAAATAAAAATGGTCAAATTAGCTGATTTGTGGAAAATGTCGAAGAAAATGAAGAGAAATGATGATAAAGGAAATCCCTTCATAACAATTTTATGCATCATTTCTTCAGATTTACACGAAAATAATATTTTGAAAAATTTTGGATGATTTTACTTGTTTCAATTAAATAACAATTTGTCTTTTAAAAGATCTTAGAGCTTTGGCCATTAAAGTTAAGGAATTAGTGAGGTATAAAAGCGACTTCATATAGCGCATGAATTCGTCCTAGTAGTAGCATTTTCTACTTAGCACAAATTTTTTAAGGATTTCTGGTATTCTAGCCAAAAATATTTCTTAAGATTCACTAGAGCTGTCCTTCCATTTTACTTTATTTTATTTTACATTCCACTACTCTGCTTGGTTGTTGCGTTTAATATATATCTAAGCAAATGTTTTTGCATGCTTATTTATTGCCTCTAAATGCCAAAATGAAGCCAGCCTTTAGTTTAAAAATTATCACTTAATTTGATTTTACATTTCAGTTTTTCTCTAAAGTTATTTACTTACATTGGTTGGTTGCACCAAGAATATCTCTAAAATCTCGTTATCTTGTCTAAAATCATATTGAATAACAAATATATTAACTAATAACAAACTTGCCCATTACTAAAGGTTTTCTCGAACAAATCTGATAGTAAAAAATCGGAAAATCTGTGAATGTTCTACGAAAAGAGGGCCTTTATGGAGCTTTTATCCTTAAGTGGAACTGATCAATTATTATAAAAACAAATGTAATTTATATATATATATATATATATATATACATATTTGTAAATGTTATCATTATTAGGACACAATCCTTAATCATAGTTGTTTATATAATAATTGGTTAATCAAAAATCACCATACCACAGTAATAGTTTGCCATTCAGTCATTGTATCTTCATTTTTGTGAATACTCCACCTCCACTGAAGCACGTATAAATTTGAACTGGTTGCCATTTGCTCTCGCGATATCTGTTGAATAATCCATCGCACGATAACTGATCTATAAATTTCGATGCGAATTATTTTGAAAGATGCAAAGATCCAAAGTAGAACTGGCGTACTAAATCCATGACGAGGAAGATTATTCGAACCTTTTTCGTTTTCGTTCCTGGACAGTTATCGTTGTGGGTATTGGTATTAGATGACGATCGTGACTAATAGGTTTCCAACAATGTCTACTGCATCCGATAGTACAACATTTTTTAGTTTCTAAGCAGTCACCATCTAAGTGACATGATGCAGAGCATTCCTTAACAAAATGAAAATTTTCCATTTTCTTATGTAATCCTCATGAAATCTTAAATTTTAAAATATATTTTTATAAAAAAAGGGTGATTATATCTACGATGGCAAAAAAATAAATCTTTAGTCATTTTGTAGGTTGCATAACTTATGATTAGTCCAAGTTTTCCATGGACCACAGATAGGTTTTTTTATATTTTTAAATTAAATTTATTTTTTATATTTATTAATTTACTTAATTTTAATTTACTTAAATTCTTTTTTTTTAAAATATGCTGCAGTAGACTTCCAAAATGGCACAAGGAAAATAAAGAAAATAAATTCCTACATCTGTTGCGACCAGTTTTGTAGATCCCGGACAAATTCCTGGTTTTTCTGCATATATCCTTCGCAAATATTCGCATGATCGTTTGCATTTATCCATTTTCTTAGCCGCCTGAAGCTTAAAAATAAAATTCTCCTGTTTCCTGGATTAACTATAATAAAATGAAATATTTCATTCATGACCGTAACAATCATCAACTATCAAAGCCGATTTCAGTGGAAGATGCCATAGTCGTACCAACAATTTTCGCTTTTTTTTCCCATAAAAAGTAAAAAGAAGTAAAGAAAAAATATAAATATATAATTTAGCAATATTTTTAAATAAAATTAGCAAATATTTATTTACATTGCAAACAGTTTTTTGACAGCTCGTGATATTTGCAAACGATTCACTGCAAGGAATAGAACACTGAAAATTCTTTCTCATTAAATTTATTAAAATTAGTGCGTAAAAATAATAAAAATTCATTAATTTTAATTTTAAGGCCAACAATTCATGTTTATTTTTAAATTGATTTAAAGAAAGTTTGCTTTAAAATAAATTGCAAATTATTAATTATATGAAATTGTATAGATTTGTAAAAATTTTAAAGTCATAAAAGCCCAAAAAGCTTATAACTACTTGTAGTACAGCCATTTTCTTAAAAATTTCTCATAGTTATCATAGTGCTCTTGTTCAACTTCCTCTTTTATTTTTCTTATCAGTTGGTTTTATGGTTTTTTTATTTTTGAATTCATTTGAATTTGAATTGAATTCATAAATGTCATATTTCGCATTCTTCTCCAATAAACTTATTTATTTAAATTTAAATAAGTCTTTTATAGAAATTTATTTATTTCCCAGTTTGATTTGTTTCGATAGGTACGATTAATTTTCCAAAACATCACTAACGAATCCTTCAAAATGCAATTAGACAGCCACCAATCGATAGTCCGATAAGGAAATAATGCCCGAGGGGAAAATCAGATAATCAAGAAATCTCAAAAAAATCCACGAAATTTACTAGATAGAAACTGAAGAATATTTAAATTTATTCGTATAGGATATAAAATTTCGGTTACTTCTCTTAAGACTAGGAAAATCTCTTTGGTTTGGAGAGATTCTTTGTCGAGATTAATTCGTTCGAGAAATAATTTAGTCCAAAAACTCATTTAAATCAGTTTTTGACTGATTATTTACTTAATTATTCATGAAAACTATTTGTTTTAATAAAACAAAACAAACATGCAAGGCAAGTCGTTAGAAATTAAACAAAAAAAGCCTAAGAGATGCCGGTCGGGACGAGTTTGTGTGCTGCTGTCAACACATTTGTTTTGTGCATTAATCTAGTTATTTAGCAAGCATTTCTAAATGAACTTATCGAAATATGATAAGTGGTTCATTTCACTGAGTTCATTTCTCATTATTAATTAATAAATTGCCTAAATAAGATTTATTTCAAGATTTATTGCCATAAAATCGGTCACCAACAGTAATTCAAGCAAATATCGAGTAATGCCAGAAACAATATTTTCGCGGTACTTATCGTTACTTATTGTGATAGACAAATTTACCAATGTTTAAAATTATAAGCGTAACCAACTGGTGTATTTCCAAGATTATCTAATATTTCAAGCGCCATGACGCCTGCCTCTGATAAACCTTAATCCTTTATCATTATCATCTGAAAAGTAAATCTCTCATTGAAAAGTGCAGAAAAGTGAAACTCATTTAAATCTTCCATCATCGAGTGAATTTCTGGCAAAAAGCATATTATCCTAAAGTAGATTATTCTAAAAATATATTAGCAAGGATTAGCTAAAAAGAAATGATGACTGGCAACTATATTCTGCTAGGATTTATGCACTACTGTGAAACTCATTATTACAAAAAAAAAAGAAAGATTAATAAGGTGTGATTTATTAAAGGTTTTCTGAAGGGTTGAATATTCCTAAAATAATATAATTCCCTGAAATAAAGGGACCTCATTATGACAGCAATAATTACAAAAATTACTTCAGTCAACAAATCATCGAAGTAATAAAGATTGTTTAGAGCAGATGAAATGTATGTTTTGCCTTTTAAGTTTCCCCTCTAAACTAGGCGAAATAGTGATGCGTGCTCTTCTCATTATTGCGTCGAAGCAATATTAAAAATTTTATGTCTTTATTAGAATTATACGCGCATTGGTTAGAGCAGATGCATATGTGATGTCGAGTCGAATTAATTCTTGACAAAATTTAGAATTAAACCTATTTAGCTATTCTTCAACTAAGGCCCGATATTCTTTTAATTGAAGTGGCAGCTTTTACTATTTTATTCCGAATGAAGAAGATTAGATAGTAATTTATAGTGGATCCAAATCACAGACCCATCACTCGGGGAATGATACTGACTCAAAATTGATATTACTTGATATAAAATTGACTTTACTTCAAACCACAAAAATTTAACTTCATTCTAAGTTCTTAAGATATTATTATTATTATCCAACAAAATTTTGGCTAGTTTCATCAACTAATTCAGTAAGACTCCTTCGGCAGAGAGCCATTTGGGTGTAAAAGTACAAAGGAGTCCAAATCACCAATAGGCTCAATTTAGTGGCAGCAGTTGTGCCAATTATACCGGACTTCTATCGAACTACCTTGCCACACTACGTAAATTTGAAGAACAGCTAGATCAAAGAACAATACTAGAAGTTTTCTTCCACCTATAATATTAAGATAATATTAAATTATTCATTTTCTATCATCCACATTCATCTAGAACTAGTTCGTGCATCTTTGCAATATTTTGCTTATATTAATAGCCTTTCATTATAAACTTTAATTAGAATTCGTTATATAAGATGAACTGATTGAAATAATCAGCAGTATTACTGCTGATATAATTTTCTTTCCATCCATAATAATCTACTAAATAAAAGAAAATTCGATAAATATTTTCAGCGTTCCCTTTGAAAGCGGAGGAAATTGGGTCATTTCAGCGAGTCGTCGTGTGTAAATGAATGAGTTATTCTCATGAATAACCCAGCAAATAAAATAATTCTAGAGCAATACCAATAAGAATAAAGAATATATCGTTGTGAAAAAAAAACCAAGTACATCGTGATAATTATACTTCAGCGCTTCAGATTTATTTAATTTCCTTCAATAAAAATCGCCATACTAATCATTATACTGATATTAATTAATAGTCTGATAATTTCATACATTAACAGTCTGATAATAATCTAAAATTCTTAAATCGAGTGATTTTTCCAAAATTTTATATTCTATTCTCGTCGTATCATTTCCCTTCAGATATTAAGGAACCAAGCTTTGTCCAAAATCCATTATAAAAATATGGTTGATTCATATTTTTTTCAGCTGGAAACCAACTGTAATTAATTATTTATTATATCAAGCAAGCAACAGAAATAAGAAGAAATCGTCTCATATCCTTTTCTTTAATATATCCATTGCTAGCGATATTTAAACATTATTATTATTGATACCAATAATATTAACAAAACTAATAAAAAAACTAATAAATAATAATAAATAAAAAATAAAATCTTTTTTTTTATCGGCACAATTTCTTTCTTTCTGCCATTATATTATAGTTTTATTTCCTAGAATTAAATATATGATTCCTAATTCCAGAGATGCCAAGAGCCCATCTATGATTCTATCTCCAGATGACTTGCCAGCAAAAGAGTGCCATTATCCAAAACTAAAGTAGAAATTAAATCAATCCATAAAGCAAAGGTAAGCAAAATAAAAATAAAAAAACAATGACTGAAATAAATGATAGTAATTTTATTACTAATTATATACCATCCTTTATTATTTTAAATATATAATTCGGCTAAATCTGCTTAACCCAGATGACAACCACATGGCACTGGACATATTCACTTCAGCTATAATTCGGACATAATCGCTCATTTTTTCCATCTTTTTAAAAGCATATTAAAGCTAGCTAATAAACATTTTTTGATTTATTATAAAGTATTTATCGAAGGTCTGTGATTCTAAGGAGAAGAGGCCTAATGAGCATCAGTCAAAGATATTTATCTTCCTACAGAAAAGGATAATGTCTAGTGTCGATTATTGTGCTGAAAGGAAATGGTTCGACTCCTACTATCTGCGATAGTAGCTACTGTCTTTATAAACTGCAGGTAGCACTAGTGGTCTGCCTGTACAACCATGTGAATCCTTGGCAAAAATCTCTTACAACCAGTGGAGTTATCCTAACCGAAAATGAGAACATCTATTTCGAAATAACGGCTAATGGCTTTGAAAAGCTTTGAATCCTCTTCAACAGTAATGCAGCAAAATAATGCAAAATCAATGCCATATAAAAGTAAGACCTGATTGAATAAAATATTATAACTTAAAATTTTTCAAATAAACTAAATTGGAAATGACAAATGTTTATGATAAATTTGGCACTACAGGATCATCTTCGTTGTTAGAAAACTCCAGTGTTACTGGGGGGGGGCTTATAAATACTCGCAAGTGACACTCTGGCAAAATTGTATTAACTTGTGAATATGGAATAAGCCTAAGTGGTTAATGCAAACCACTTTTTATTTCCTTATTCATTATTGTCAAAAAATTGCAAGAAAAACGGTATCGCTGTAATAGCTAATAATAAACTTCGGCTTAGGCTTAGATCAAGCATAAGAAAGTGCTCAAAGAATTTTCCTGAGGCATAAAGAACCTGAGGAATATCTAGGTTAGCAAAAAATGCCTTTTTGCTCCAAAAAATTTATCTTGAATTTTGAGATTGCTACTGCACAATTAATCCTCAATTAATCAAAGTCACCTAGAAAAATTGAAATAAAATTTAAAGTAGGTCAATTTTCTTGCTATTTTAATGATAACCAACCGATGAACATTCGAGATTCTCCTTGCAAACGTTGATCAAATGGTGTTTCAAATGTTTTCTAATTTCGTTATTTTTCTGAAAATCGAAAAATATTTGTCACTTACAGTTTAAAAAATTTAAATTTATTTCATGTAAATGATGAATTTTAAAAAATAAAATAAAAATAAAAATTTTATCTTATATTCAGATAGAGGATGGGTGATGGTTTGACTAACGCCACGCCATCTTCAATTTGGTTCATGCTTCTTCACGAGAGTAAACATGAAATAATATGGGACATATGTCATTAAATCTGAAATCCGTGTGATGCTGTGGACTCATTTATCTCCATTTTTTCTAAGTTATATGGTCGATGATATCAGTTAAATCAGAAATTTATTCATTTGAAGTTGAATTGCCTATCGAAGTACATCGAAGATGAAATAAATGAAATATGTGGTCGTTGTTAATTTAAAAGCTTGATTGGTCCAATTTTAGTCAAATTCATAATTTTATTGCCAATTAATAAATTTTTTCATAAGCTTGAAAATCATGTCAATTAATTTTTTTCCTCAGGCTTGATATTCATATTATCGAATATTTTTTCTTGGACGCTAGGATAAAATTTATTATTAAAAATTGTCATTATATCAAAATCAAAAATTCTTTATTCTTTTCATTAAATCAATGTAAATACTTCAAAAACTTAGCATAAACAAATGGAAATTTGGAACGATTTTAAAAAACTTTTCTTTTTTTGATAATCAAAAGCGCTTTCTATTTTTAATAAAAATAATCTACTCGAATTTAAAATTGTGATCGGACTTTTTTTGTATTAAATACGATAACTGAGAATCTTAATACACTCCCTTGTGGTGCTTTCATTATTTAGATCACCATGAATTTGATGAAGTAATATTTGTTTATGTAAATGCTATCTTTAGTGATAACTCTATGGCTGATATTTAATTGCATGTGACATTCACTGGTCATTCAAGTGGAACTAGAAAATCAAATAGTCGTCAAAATATAAGAATATCTATTACACAAATATTTAATGTCCTTCGAAAATTTATATTTTTTTGAATTTAGAATTGTCTATCACAATGAATTTACAAAATTTTATAGATTTTGAAAATTGCAAATTTCTATTAGAATTACTGATAAAAACTAATATAATTTATGAGGAATTCATATTCCTGTAGAAGAAGAATTTAAATATTTATGTTGCTACTATTTTGACACATCTGATTGAAATCAAAGGGATTATAGAATCGCAGATGATACTCCAGTACCACCTAAATTTCAGTTTTAATGGAACATTTGCTTCGAGCAAAAGAAAAAAATTGGACTGTGAAGAAATTAATGCTTGATTTCAGCTGAAAACTGCTTGATCGTTCTTAACACCTAGCTAAGGTACTTGCAGAATCTAGAATTTCATTAAAACGCCACCTTATAGTGTCACTGAATGAACTGGCAAACTGGCAAGAACTTATTTTCTAATTTGAAGAACTTTTCAAACGAAAATTGCAAATCTTAAATACATATTCAATGGTTAATAGTTCATTTACGACGGCGCATGAACTTAATTTTAAATGAAACGCATTAATGTTCAATTTTCCACTAAAAAATGAAAATTTTTTTGCTCATCTAAAAAGATACAGCTATTTAGCGAATTTTTAGGAAATAGGAAAAATAGTTAAATAACTTTTTGAAATATAATATAAATCACAATATCTTACTGTACTGTATCTATTATCTATTACTGTAAGTTACTACTAATGGTAT